TGTAGTCAATAAATTCTGATAAAGTCTCATACATATCGTGCTTTTCTTTTATGTCTTTACGTATAACAATTTTGATCTTACAGAACTTACTCTCATAAAGGCCATTATAACAAGGAAGTATCTTACTACTATAGATGTTATATTCATCTCGTAAATTCAAATCATTGACAATAGTTTTATTCAAAAACATAGAAATGGGGCAATTTAATAATTTGAGTATGAGTGGGTTATTGGAAACTGAAAAAACTTTGAAGAGAAATTTGAGTTTTAGGTATTCGAAACGAAGAAGGATAGGAGGCAAATTACATTCTACTTGCATTGAGATAATTGGAGAAGTATACATAGCACCTAAAATAAGTCTTAAATTCATATTTTGAATTTTTTCGAGTTTTTCTACTAATTTATGTTCTGAGGCATAACAAAAGAAAGCGTAATCAAAATTACTTCTAACAAGAGATTTGTAAAGTAAAAGGATAATTTTAGGATCAGCTCCCCAGTTACGACCAATTACAGATCTTATTATATTAGTGGCTCTTAAAGCACGATCTACTAAGCAATCAACGTATAGATCCCATTTTAAATTTTGATGAAAAATTACCCCAGAAATTTAACGCTACAGTCTGTTGGAAGAGTTTGATTATTATATATAATATTCATTAATGGAACATATTTATGAACTTGATGAAAAACAACTACTTTACTTTTGGTTAAACTAATATCGAGGGAAAGAAGAGAAAAATATTTCTCAAGTCTTTTTAATGACTCATTTAACACTAATTGCATATCAATAATATTCTTTCCTTTTATATAAATTAATAAATCATCGGCAAATTGCAAGTTGTTCACACTGTTTCCTAAAATTGAATTAAGTTTATAGATATATAAAATATATAGTAGCGGGCTTAGAATACCACCTTGACATACTCCTTTAGAGCTTAACCTAGGTCCTATTAATTTACTATTTACTTTAACATACACTTCTCTATTACTAAGAAAATTATAAATCCATTTGATAAGTTTCATTGGAAGAAATGAGGATAAAATCGAAGATAGAACTGTTAAATTTACATTGTTAAAAGCTCCTACGACATCTAAAAAAACAGATAGAACATATTCATCGTTATTCAAAGCAGTACTAAGGTCGACATAGAAGTTCGCTAAACTTTCGCGCGCTGAATATCCACGGCGAAAACCAAATTGATTCGATGGTAATATACTATTACTTTCAATAAAGAACTCTAAACGCTGTTTAATTAATTGTTCGAATAATTTGCCTGCACAGGACGTCAATGTTATAGGTCTATAGGAGTCGAAATTTGTAGGATCTTTACCGGGTTTAATTACTGGAATCAAACAATCCATTTTCCATTCTGGTGGGATAATACAGTCCTTCCATAAATCGTTAAAAATTTGTAAGAGTTTAGTAAGGTTTATTTTATTCAGCAATCGAAACATATTGTATGTTAAGCGATCAAGGCCACTAGCTGTATCTTTTCTAGATTTTACTGCACTGGATATTTCATCAATTGAGAATGGGTCAGTGAGAAATTTTGGGCATGAATTAACAGAATTAAACTGTTTGTCATCAAAAGATGAGTGTACAAAATCAGGAGTATATTTGCGTAAAAAATCATTGACCCATGATATATCTTTAAAATGATTTTGACGATGTTTTGAATTTAGTTTTCTCATATTTTGCCAAACAGTGGAAATTGGTGTTAATCTATTAAATTTGGAACAAAATTCCTGCCACCCCTGTTGTCTTACTTGCTTAATTACTAACTTTTTAACAGCTTGAACTCTTTTAAAATTTATGTAATTATCGAGAGTTGGATTTTGTTTAAACCTAAGGTAAGCCGCTTTACTATCATTGACAGCTGTCGCACACCTGTTATTCCACCAAGGTACTGCAATATGTTTGTGCCTCTTTGAAGTATTTGCACCGCTATTTGATAAGTTCCTACGTGGAACGGAACGTTCCACAGCTGTCAAAATAATTTTACAGAACCTATTGTAATTGTTTAAGGGTTCATTGACATCATACTCGAAATCCAAAAGTAATTGATTAACAGTTTCAGAATAAAGATCCCAATTAACGAGACGTAGGTTTATACGATTTAACAAAAGTTTATTAACTTCATCTATAGGAGCATGTTGTTCACCTGACGGAGTTGATGAAGAGTTCTTTGTGTTTATTTTAGTAAAAGTCGGCAGGTGATAACTTCCTAACGGATCATCATGAACCGACCACTCGCATTTTAATGATATGGATGTGGATACCATAGTTAAATCAAGGCCATTGGGTCTCCAAATATGAGAGCCAACAGTAGTAACTTGCTTATCATTTAATAGTACCAAATTACATTCATCTAAACAATCAAGAATGTCTTTACCTCTTGTATTAGTGGAGGTACAACCCCACATAGTATGATGTGCATTTAAATCTCCAGATATGATAGTGGGTTTAGGAAGAGACTCCAAAAAGAACTTAAATTTGGCTTTAGTAAAACTAGGTGTACTATTGGTAGGACAGTAAATACTGGCAACTGAATACCAAGAATTATTAACTTCAATACTAATAGCTATAGTTTGCAAAGAATTGTCGAAAAAAGAGTGAAGTTTTTTATATCTAATACTATTATGTATAATAATCGCTACTCCATTGTGGTTATTACCACAATCATTTCGTTCTATACAATAATCTTTAATTTTTAATTTGTAATGTGGTTTTAGCCAAGTTTCTGAGATGAGAGCAATGTGAATATGATGTTCATTTAAAAATTGTGTAAAAATATGTCGATTGCTCAGTAGGCTCTGAGCGTTCCACTGTATGATAGTTAATTGGTCTCGATTGAATTTTGTGAAATAGGTCTATTACCAAAAGTATCATATAACACATTCAAAACACTTTTAGTGTTAATAGATGTGTTCTTTGTGTTATGTAGTGAAATAAGTTTGATTATGCTTTCTATTAAAAGTGATAAACTCTTGTTATCAGAATTTAGAATTGAAATAAGGTCTACATTTTTTTTAGGTTTGTTACCCAGTTTAGGAAATATTTCAGTGCTAAGTATATCTCCAAAAGAAGCAGGTCTGAATTTAGATCTATTTTCAGCAATTTTCTTTTGTTTAACAGGGCATTGCGGTGATACACTTGTGTGATTTCCATTGCAGTGTACACAAATAGCGTTTTCCATTCCAGTTGTACAAGTTTTATAATTATGCTCACCTTTGCAGATGCTGCAACGCTCAGAATTCTTACAGAATTTAGCTAAATGTCCATACCTCAAGCACCGGTAGCATTGTTTAACTGGTGGTATATATGGAGTGACATTGTGGCGCCAACCTCCAATATCCAGATATTCAGGTAATACAGATGCAGCAAAAGTAATTGTCACGGTTAGAGTTGGCTGTAACACATATCCATGAGTCAAGGTATTTTTTCTTAAAATTCTTTTAATAGCAATAATTTTCTTAGAACTCGATATCATAGTATATATTTTTTTATTAGATATATTTGTAGGTACATTTCTAATAACGCCTGTAACTTCTGTTGAAGAAGCAGGAATACTGGCCTTAAAATGGTAGTCATTTAAAAAAGTTTTATTATTTAAAAAAGCATTGGCTAAGTCTGGCTTTTGAAAGTATACTCCGATTTTGAATTTATTTATAGATCTAAGATAAGTTACCCCTTTATTAAATCGTTTTAAACAGGAGGAGAGTGAGAGCAAGTCTCTGGATCCAATGGTTTTCTGACTATCTGAGGATTCTACAAAGACAACAAATTCTGTCCCAGGGGATTCCTCGGGATATCTTCTAATATAATCTGTGACGTAGTAAGGTTTATACTTATCGGCCTTATCAATTTCAGATTCTGAGTCAGTAGAAGTATCTTCCGAATATATATCCTTGTCATTACAAGGTTCATGGTCTACATCACCTGAATCGTCATCTTTTTTTTTCCTTTTTCTACAACTGCGCTTCCCCATGAATGCTAATTATATTACTGTCGCTGAATTTAGTGAAAATATAATATTTTATTCAATAATAAGAATTGATAGAGATAGTTTTAATAAATTAATAAAAAAAATTTAAAAAACCCGCTTGTTCTTATTCGAGTTTCCCGCCTTTTTACCCAAAACAGTAAACAAAACTGTCATTTAATGATTTGACGTTTGTATTGTTTTTTTAGTACGTTTGTTCCGCTATGGTACAGGCTAAGGTCGGAGACCATGCTGCCTAGTCCTCAGTATGATAGTTTGTCTAGAATATTTGTATTGAATAATCAATCAATGGGGTCAACTTTGAAGGGCTAATTCTCCATTAACATATTGTTTTGTTATAAGAATTGTTAATTTATAATTTAAGTATTTAAAATTTTGCATGCCTAATTGTGGCGAAATATGTAGACTTAATATTATTTTATCTATCTGTATATTTACCATATTTCTTGCAAATAAATATTCATTCATTCATTCATTCTAACTAACTTCTAAAATTAAAATTTCAACACAAAACAACAATTTTTGAACTTAGGTAAAGTAATTCGTAAAGATAAATCTAACTACCCGAAGATACTTATATACTACATTCACTACATTATACTAAGTCTCGGCTGATACATATTATTATTTCTGCCACAATTCCTATCAAGTAATTTTAGTACGTAATACGTTATACTAAATCTACGTTTATTAGTATATATTTTATTAAATGAATACAGATACACATATATTATTGATTGGTATATACTGGCAAAGCACTAATGGAGGTATTATAGGTAAAGTTCATAATAGGTCAGTTTTGATAAAATCAGAAAATAACCATATTAGTTTCCAAGAAAATTGCGTAGAGATTTAAACATACTTAAAATATAATATATAATGGCGAATGTACGGTACCTTTTAGAATATCAGTCAGCTGTCAGTTATATTTTTTACTAGCAACATTATAGATAAACTTCATCAAATGCGAAATTTAAATTAATTTGAAGTCTAACGATCATCCAACGTTTTATTTTTGATGTGAATCGTTTTGACGAATATTTTTCTATATTATTAAAGACAATTACCTTAATTTTGGTGTTAGATTTATTTTTATTATATTGTTTATGTGTATCGTGTTAAGATGACGACTGAAAAAGTTTGTAGAAAGGACAAAAATCAAAACATACAAGTCTTCGTTCGACTACGGTAAAACGACGCCTATTTTACTTCCAATTTTCATACATATATCTATTGCACTAAAATATTTCATTTACTTAGTTTATTCTGTATAAAAAATATGTATATTCTGATTAATAGCTTAACTACTTTTACATAACTACTCCAGTATTTAGTTTTTATAAATATATTTAATAAAAAATAATTTATTAAATTATATAAATGACAATGCAAGCGGCTTACTAGATTTGCAGTGACTATTATATAACAATATATTTATGCTTATTTATTCATAACAATGTACATAATATATAATCAGAGTAAAAAACTACATGAAATAAATACAAACATGAATTATCCTGTATAACGCTGAAACTAGAATTTAAACATTATATTACTACATACTGGTATAAAACAATTGCCCAATGATTGTATTATCATTTAAAAAGTTTATCTTAGAATGCAAAAGGAAAAGACCATACTTTATCTTATATTTGTGTATGGGCCCAACCTACAAACTGCTGTACATCAAACAGTTGAAATGTTTTATGCTTCCCTCCAACTTATACTTTATAGATACTACTACCTTTCCAATATCTCACGATTTAAGTATCTATAGTCTCCTGCTACAGAAGAAAAGATACTGTTAGTGTGCGGTCCTACAGCTCAATTGCTAGCATTATATCTTATCATGTTGGTCTCTATGTGATTCCCCTTAGAAACCACCATGGTTTATCGTGGAAGTTTTTTTAACGGATGATAATGGAATGAAGGCCCTGCCTACACTAACAGTATTCGCTGGCGGGATGTGAGGGAGTGATCACTCACTATCACCAGTGAGGGATGATAGGTGAGGATGAAAAAGCAAGTCAGTTAGATTACCTTGATGAATACATCTGGAATTCAGCATGATGGTTTCCAGGGGGCTGCATGGATATCGACCTGACAGTGTATATTGGTAGCAATGAGTTTAGTAGTCCACATTACTAGCAATCCATCACACCCCCCCTTATGTCATGGGCTAACTGATCTTTTATTCTCGCCTCATCTGTCACTAGTACGCTGCCAGTGTATACTGATAGCGCAGTGGTGTTACTTTACCATTTTCATCTATTAACAGTCTTCGGCTGCTGGATAAGCCATTCCCAATAGATTCATATGCATACTTGCCAACAAATCACAGCTGCACATCAGTTGTACCATAGATTTCAATTCCTCACTGCATAATTTACATAGTGTATTGAAGACAGACCCATCTTGTATAGTATATGTCTTACCGGCATGTGTCCAGTTTAGGCACCCATTGTGAGTCTGCTTTCACTCTAGATGAGATTATTCACTATAGATACTTCCTACTTTCATTAACATATTAATGTTGGTTTCACCATCATTTCATAAACCCATCTCTTTATTTGTGGTTTCAGTTCCCATGTCTTGCTATACACAGATCTGCACATGGTTAGGACTCTAAATTCCTTATCCATAAAACTTAAACCTACAAACTTATTTTAGCTATTCAAGTGAAGTTGTTTTCACTTTTTTTTTTTTAATTAAGAAGCGAAACAAAAAAAATCACACTTCAATAAGTAAAATAGGTTTATGACTGATTTAATATTTTTATGAATAAGTTATGTTTTTTAACCACAGCCTCATCTGCATGCTATTTCAATATAATTTTCACCTATGAGGAGCCAGACAGCCTTATCCAATGCTGTATTGTTGATGATTGAGTAATATTTGCAGGCCACTAAATCAGCGGGAGCGTGACATCAAGTCCTTGGGGGTGGTGGAAGTAGTAAACAGCCGTGAGGTGGTGGTAAAGCAGTCACAGCAGACTTCACTCACTAAGAAGTTCACCTTTGACCGTGCATTTGGACCACATGCTAAACAGGTATTGTATAATATGTGAAATGATTTGTCTTTGAAATTGATTAGAAATACCAATATCATCACATATTCATCCCTCACTGCTGCCCTGCGTGCATAAACTGCGCGAGTGAGGTTACCATTCCATTTTTTGATCCATTAAAAAATATCCCATTCAGCCTTTAAACATATCTATGGTAATTTTATATAAGTCATAATGAGTAATATTCACCCATAAACTGTTGCTGTTCCCAGGTGGAAGTATACCAGGATGTGGTGAGTCCGCTGATAGAAGAGGTCCTTGCGGGCTACAATTGTACCGTGTTTGCCTATGGGCAGACCGGCACGGGCAAGACCCACACCATGGTTGGGGAGAGCACCGGTGATGAGACCACTTGGCAGAGTGTGAGTGTTATATATATATATATATATATATATTATATATATATATACATAAATATATTATATATTATATATATATATATATATATATATATATTCTATATTATATATATATATATATATATATATATATATATATATATATATATATATATATATATATATATATATATATATATATATATTTTATAGTTTTCAAAAGAGAGTGGACTTCAGGCAGCCGGCCGTTCGTAAAACTATAAGCCAAATCTTTTTTGTAATATGAATAAAAACATATTACGTTGACCTCAAATAATAATTGGGATAAGAGTAGGAAGGTGATGATGATATATTTTTTATAGTTTCATGTTATTAATATTACTATTAAAATTGTACTAATTACAATTCTATCTGATCTGTGCATGGAAAGTATTTAAGAAAAAAATTATATAAAAGGTCATAATAAGAGGAATAGATGCCTAAATATCTTTTTTTATTTTAAAATTTATTTGTCTCTCTCTGTCTATTATATATATTTATATCTATTCTTTTTTTCTACAACTTAGAATGGCAAACAAGCTAACGGCCCACCTGATGGAAAGTGGTAACCGTCGCCTATAGACATGAGCAGTACCATGGACATAACAGACTATACTGTTTCACCCATCGACTTTTGTTACAAAGTATCCCTCTGGTGAAATATCTATATTTGTTCTAGTGTCACGCAAAAATTACGTAACAAAATTGGATACAGTTTTCATAGTTGTGTTCCTGAAGGTTTAAAAACTGGTGTATGATTTATTTTGATATGTCATCTAGTCTATTAGATTACCTAGTAACTTTAGAAGCAGGTAAACTTTATTGGTTTTCCTACTTCTAAAATTCACGCATATGAAGGGACAAGCAGTAAGCTAATTAATTATAAAGCAATAGACACTTTTAAAGAAATAATACAAATTTTAATAAAATTCAAGTCTATTCACTACTTGGTTAGCTTGGTTGAATGAAAGACATTTTTAGACTTATAATTACTATGTATGACTGTAACTACTAATGAACTGTCACTTTTCTCATATTGGGTTTGCTGGAAGAAATCTCTATTGGTGATAACTTCTGCCCTTGTGCACTATTATGTTTGTTTTTACATTTCAATAACCTTTTGTGTACAATAAAGAATACTTTTTTTCTAATTTTGACATCATAGAGAATATCAGTATATGGATATGACAATTCCTCCCACAGGACCCTCTGGCCGGCATCATACCGCGAGCACTGAGCCAGCTGTTCGACGAGCTGCGCATCTCCAACACGGAGTACACTGTCCGCGTATCCTACCTCGAACTCTACAACGAGGAGTTGTTTGATCTGCTCTCCTCATCCGAAGACAACTCCAAGCTGAGGATCTACGAGGACGTCACCAGAAAAGGATCCAATATTGTTAATGGCTTAGAAGAGATCACGGTATGTTTTAGAACATTTTTATTGTGTCTAATTATAAAATTATTTAAATTGGATTAGAATAGGGACCATATTTATTTAAATAAACTTGTTTACAAGCTCTTTAAATCGTAATATCTTTTATATTTACATATAATAAAGGTTGCCAACTCGCCTGTCAAGCATGGCAAGTACTGGCAAAATCTCCCCTTATAGAGGAGGCCTATGTTCAACAGTGGACAGTTAACAATTGATATGACAATGCTAAATTCGGAATATCCTTGTTTAACAAGAAGAATTTGTTACAATTTAACAGTTGGTAAACTGCTTAAGTACAAAACTATAATGTTAACTTATAATAATACTAACAACCTGGTCTTGCTTCGCACATGTACACCGAATTTTCTAAAATAATATATAGCCTATGTTACTACCTAATAAAGGAACTTTTAAAGATGAAATAATTTTTAAAATGGGTTGGTTACATTTTGAGTTTAATCTAATGTATAAATCTGTAATCAGTCAAACAATTAAATCATCCTTCTTTATAATATTAGTATAGATGTATAAATAATAAAATTATTTAATCAGTCATAAGTAAAAATTTAATAAAAGCTTATAAGTATAAATTGGTCATGTGGTCCTGGCATAGAATAAGCCACCTCTTTTTTAGTTTAGTGGGCGTCGTAAGAGGCGACTAAGGGAGAACAAAGGATAAGCAGCAGCGTACCTCTTGAACGTCTCTAATGCCTAACTACGTTTGCTAACCCACTTGCTAAGCGTAGCAACTATGGGCAAAACCATCCAAGGGGTAGGCTTATGTTCAGCAGTGGACAGTTAAAGGCTGATATGATGACGATAAGTCTAATTATATGTTTTTTTTATCAGGTATACAACAAGAATGAAGTGTACAAGATAATGGCTCAGGGGCAGGAGAGGAAAAAAGTGGCATCCACACTAATGAATGCTCAGTCAAGGTAAATTTCTGAGTATTTTTTACCCCATAAATTGTCACAGAATATTGATGAATTGAAACATTGATATGTGTATTGTATTGATATTTTTGTATGAAACTTCAAACTAGCTATTTTTAACACTTGATTTGATGGTACTATCAAATCAAATAAAGCAATATTAAATGATGAATAGTGGAAGAAGCGAAAGAGGTTTGTTTGAATCGAAGCATTTGGCGTTCCATTGTTTCTGCCTACCCTAATGGGAGACAGGCGTGACAGATATGTATGTATCTAAATGATGAATCTAATAAATTTAGCAATTTTATTAATTTTTAATTTAATACAATATATTTTTTTTTTTTATATTAAATATTAATTTACTTTGCAGTAACCATCCCAGTGCTAAATATTCGTAAGTTTGTCATAAAAATTAATTTAATGTATGTAATTGTATTTTGTGTATGTTTCCTCTGACCATTGATAAATTATGAATTTTATTCAATACATCAATACATGTTTAAAAAATCAAAATTTAAGTCCATCACAAAATATTAAAGTTGACTATATTAAATTTCTCGTTGGATACTCCATTGGGATGGTTTCTGCAAATACTTCCTAAGCTGAGGAAGCATATTCAAGTAATTAAATAATATATACATGCATATATAATACATATATACTGATTTTTATTTAGTTCATTTGTAGATATCGTAGTAATTTTACATCTAATATATAAAATTCTCGTGTCACGGTGTTTGTTACCAAACTCCTCCGAAACGGCTTTACCGATTTTTATGAAATTTTGTATTCATATCGGATAGGTCTGAGAATCGGCCAACATCTATTTTTCGTATCCCTCAATGATAAGGGTGACCCACTAATAATTTTTTTTTTATTTATATTTTATTATGATTTAGCATTGAAATATACATACAAATTAAAATTTTCACGTTTTTACGATCAACCTCTGTTGTTTAATCGCAATTTTTATATGCCGCAATAGGGTTGCAAGATGACAATCGAATATAATAATTATAGTACGATATATTTTCATGTATAATTAAAAAAAAAATTATATGGTAAAACAACGTTTACCGAGTCAGCTAGTTAGTGTATAAAGTAAAATGCCTTTATTTCATGCCTTGCATTTTATATAATTAAAATCTATCATTATCTTCAACTTCCAGTCGCTCGCACACAGTCTTCACGATCGTAATTCACATGAAAGAGAACAGTCCCGAGGGCGAGGAGCTGGTGAAGATCGGCAAGCTGAACCTAGTGGACCTGGCCGGCTCGGAGAATATCAGTAAGGCGGGCTCGGATAACCCCGCCAAGAGGGAGAGGGCTAGAGAGTGCGTCAACATCAACCAGTCCCTTCTCACCCTTGGCAGAGTCATCACCGCACTTGTGGAGCGACATCCGCACATACCTTACAGGTGAGCCTTTTTTTTTTAATAATTGATACCCCACCCGCGCTATTGGTATGCACTGGCAAGGCGCTAGTGGAAGAGGTTAATACTCATTATTAACAATTCCTTTCCCCCCTTAAAGGTGAGGCTGCAATCTTCTATACTTATAATAAATTAGTAGAGAGGTCAATTCTGCACATGAAATATATTTCCAAAATAACTATCAGGGGGTGATTAGTGATCGATACTGATGCCAAAAATGAAATCAGTAAAATTTTTGTTAGTCTGTCTGTATGTTCGTTATACAAACAAAAACTTGATTGAGATTTTAACGAAACTTGGTACAATTATTCTTCATACTCCTGGGCAGGTTATAGTATACTTTTCATCACGCCACGATCAATAGGAGCAGAGCAGCGAAGGGAAATGTTGGGAAAACGGGAGAAGTTACTCCATTTTTAAGCTTCCGTCGCGCGTGCAGCCTTAATGGCCACTTTTTAAAATGTAAAAATGTCCACCCGTGCGACGCGGGGACGGGCCGCTAGTCATAAATAATTATACAGTGCAATAAATAAACATTACGTATATCACAAACTAAGCAGAGCTTGTACTGTGAGTATTAAAAAATGATAAACATAATGTAAACTAGTAAAAAATTTGAATTTGATTTCAAGTAAATCATCATAACAGCCCTTAACTGTTCTCTGCTAAACATTAGGCCTCCCTCATAAAGGACTAAACTATACATACATACATACATATCTGTCACGCCTGTCTCCCATTAGGGTAGGCAGAAACAATGGAACGCCAAATGCTTCGATTCAAACAAACCTAAACTATTTATGCATATATTAATGGTTGAGGGATGAGCAGCAGCATTTCTCTTAGAACATCTTCAAAAACTTCACTACAGTTGCCAGCCTGCCTGCCAAGCGTGGCAACTACTGGCAAAACCCCACTTATAAGGAAATCCATCTTATGAGAAAGATCTGTATGTTAAACAGTGGACAGCATAATGTAGATGCAGGTGGCTTAGGGCCATTCATTATGGCGGTCTATGGGGAGAGGTCTATGTCCAGCAGTGGACAGATAATGGCTAAGGTGATGATGATGATGATAGGCAATGTAATTACGATTGAAGGGAGGAAATATTTTTTTTGTTTTTACAGAGAATCCAAACTGACGCGCATTCTCCAAGAGTCGCTCGGCGGTCGCACTAAAACATCGATAATAGCCACCATTTCCCCCGGACACAAGGACCTGGAAGAGACTATGAGCACTCTGGAGTATGCGCACCGCGCCAAGAACATCCAGAACAAGCCAGAGGTGAACCAGAAGATGACCAAGAAGGCCATCTTGAAGGAGTACGCCGAGGAGATTGACAGACTGAAGAGAGATCTTCAAGCAGCCAGGGATAAGAGTGGTAATTATTGGATACTAGCTTTTACCCGCGACATCGTTCGTGTGATCTGTATATGTTTACTAATAAGAAGTCTCTTATAATTATTAGCTAAATATATTTTTTTATTATATTTTTTCTACTATAGCAATGAAACAGTAAGCTGTCCTTGTCCTTTTCTATTCCATGTAGTAGGTATATAACAAATTTTATAGTGATTAATTAATCCCTTAAAGTGCTAAGAGGTAACAAACAACCTAACTTTCACATTTATAATATTAGTAAGGATTTTTTTTATAATCTTTATAGAGTAGTTTCATTTTTTTCAAAATTCTTTTTATAATTGAGATTATATTTGTATGTTGTATGCCAAATTTGGCAATAATCTCTTATAATTATTAGCTAAAGTCAATATTTTTTTTTTAAATAAAATATATTACATTCCCACATACTTGTCCTTAGGTGTTTATCTAGCGAACGAAACATTCGCCGAGATGACATTAAAACAAGAGGAGCAAAAGAAGGAGATACAGGAGTTGCTGCTCAAGAAGAAAGCGATGGAGGACGAGCGCGACCGCATGGTGGCCGTGTTCGCGGACTTGAGCCAGCAGCTGGAGCAGCGGGATAGCGAGCTAAACGATACCAGGAGCAAGCTGGACACCACCCGGCTCCAGCTGGTCAATACCAGCAATGTGAGTAGACAGTGCTGTAGTACTTGAGTAAGTGACTGGTATTAAAGCAGAGAGATAGTGAGTCGTAATAACATGGTAAAAAGCATTTGGACTCAATTGGCCGAATGGTACCTTAAGGGTATCCACTAATTAGGATATTTGATTCTGCTATTTTGTCAGGTTGTCAGTTGTAACTGGAAAATATTTTTATTATATTATTTTTTCAAATTTTATAAAAATTGGGCATCAGTTTACGTGTAATTAACAAGAGGTATTTCATGTCAAGTGTTATAAATTTATTATATCTTTTTAAATGTGTCTTATGCTATATTAGTCATCATCATCATCATCAATAATCATTAAAATGGAAAAAATAGAAGAAAAATATTATCTATTTAAATCATATTGTTTTTTTTTTACAACTTAGAATGGCAAACAAGCTGACGGTCCACCTGATGGAAAGTGGTAACCGTCGCCTATAGACATGAGCTGTACCATGGACATAATAGAGTATACTGTTTCGCCCATGATACCTCACATGTTTATGTCCACATACTAAATACTATATATCAAGAAGAATCTGAAAGAAATAATACTTATTACTTACTTTTTTTTAAATAATTTTATCAAACAATTTGACTAAATGATTAATATGTTTACAAACAAAATAAAAGGCAGATTTTAGTATCAATTGATAAATTTTTACATTTATTTTTTTGAATTTATTTAAAATCAGTGTTAAAGCATTAATAATATGCTGTGAATATTCATCACTCCTGCGTATAATGAAGCGTTTTCATCTGTAAAGCCAATAGACGACTGCTAAGTTATTAATAGACAATCACACACAACATCAACCAGTCACAAGAGTCGCTCATCACGACATCGCGAGAACGCCAATCATAATGCAGGAGAAAATTACATGACCTTTCAGATTTTAAATTGTAACTTACTTGCAAAACAAATTTTAGTGCATTATATCAAATTTATATTCAATACGACGCTTCAAAATTATTTATTTTTAGTTACCCCAGTTAAACTGCTTCAAACACTAGGTGTATTTATTCATCATCATTATATTATCCATTCATCATTAAAACGCAAACGCACATCATTAATATTTGCTCTTTCATTGTCAGTTTTGTCAAGATGATGAAAGGTATTTTAAGTTTCGGCAAGTGCTGTAATAAGACTCATACAATATTTAGAAGATGTGGCAGATTGTCTTGTCACATCCAGAAATCAAAATGCGCTCAGGGTGGATGCCCTGCAGCCAAGTTGCAGTCTTATCATTGGTCAGTGAAAGCCAAATGTAGGAAGACTACAGGAACTGGCCATATGCGTCGTCTCAAGATTGTTAAAAGGCGTTTCCGCAATGGCTTCAGAGAACGCAGACTGACTGCCAAAAGGGCTGTAGCATCTTCGTGGACCGTTCGTTGTTAAATAAATTAACAACCAGTTTGTCGACCTGCAACAGTTACTTTTTCTATCAAGTAGATTGCAGGATAGTAATATTAGTGAGTGGCGGCAGATGCTGGAGTCGACGCGGCAGCAGGTGGCCGAGCAGCAGCACTTGGTGGCGGTGCACAGCAGCACCGAGCAGGTGCTGGGCGGGCAGGCGCGAGTGCTGCTGGGCGCCGCCGAGGCGGCCGCCGCGCACGCCGCCGCGCTGCGGGACGCCGTCGCGCGCCGCGCCGCCCGCGACGCCGCCAACGCGGCCGCCGCGCGCTCGCTGCGACACCACGCATCCTCCGCCCGCCGCCGCCTCGCCGACCGCGCCGCCTGCGCCGCCGACAAACTGCGGCAGGCGCACCGGCGGCTGCACCGCACCGGAGGTAAACATCCACACGAGCCACACCCACCACACCGCCCCTGCCGGCGGCCACGGGGATTATTTTTTTATACAACTTACAATGGCAAACAAGCTGACGGCCCACCTGATGGGAAGTGGTAACCGTCGCCTATAGACATGAGCAGTACCATGGACATAACAGAATACACTGTTTCGCCCATGATACCCCCCGTGCGTTGCCATTCCTGAGGACTCAGGTGTTATTCCTCTGTACCCAGTAAATTCGCGCCATATCCACTTATTAATCATTTATATAAGTACCTATGTAACACAATTTTATGTTTGTCTGTTAATCTGGTCAAGGTTATGCTCTGTGTTCAGTACACGACGCGTCCATGTAACCTAACTTCAGGCTGCAGCTGAAAATCATTGCTTTTAAGCAAAACTATCACTGAGCTGTACTAGCCTATTTGAATCACTGCGACGCACACGGCGAAAACATATTTTCATATTTCATCTTTTGTTTTATATTAAAAAAAAAAGAAAAAAATGTAATTAATTTAATTGTATGAACTCATTTTATAATTTACATGTATCATAAATGGCTAATATGTCTATCCATATAGATAAATAAATATCTAGATGGTAATCAGGTGTCATATGAGTACATATTATTTTAACCATTTTTTTATATATTTTGTAAATATAATGGCAAAAAAAAAAGACCCAAAGTTTTGACTAACAAGGATTTAATCTGAACTCTTACCCTCTATGTTGTTAACAGAAACTTTCACTACAAACACAACGCAAACACAAGAAGTAAATAAACAGAAAATGGAAGAATTAGCGCAAAGGATAACAGACATAACGACAGAGGTATGTTTTTTTTTATTTATATAATTAAACCAATAAAAATTATACTTTTTTTTTTACAAAATTTTTGTTTTCAATCAATGCTAATTGATAAGTAAAAACACATCGCTTTGATATATAAATATATATTTAATGAAATGATATGACTTTTTGGATTAAACAGTCTTAAAATTATAAACAAAGGTCACATTGGATGATACAATGGATAGATAGAGGTGTGCCACATGTTTAATTGTTTGCGATTCAGGCATGCAAATATTTATATTTTAGAAAAAAAGCTAAAAATAATACTCTTTCAAGAAAGTATAAGTGTGACATGCATAATTTCAGATCAAAGTAGCGGCATCGCAGGCGCAATCGGATTTGTCTCAAAACGTGAGCTCACAGACTACATCGACGCAGGCAGCGCTGCAGCGCCACAGCGAAGCGCTGCAACGTGCACTGGAAGCGCTGGTGACGGCCGTCGCGAGCGGCCACCAGCGCGTCGCCGACCTCGGCCTCACCACTAGCGTCGCTAACTTCGTGCGACAGTGGGTGAGTTCCTCTCTTTCATCTATGTACCTAACACTGATACTTTCAACTATAGCTTGTCTACAGCAGAGCATTTTCTATAAACTACAATATAAAGAATAATCCAAGATATATTTCTTACATACACAGCACACAACAATTTCGTAACATCTTAAGTATTATATATTCATTATAAAAACATTGGGCTCCGCAACGGAGCCTGCGAAGTTACAGAACAAATGACTGACGGCTCCGTAACGGAGACAACGGAGCGCAAAGAGTTAAGAAGGATACTGTTGCCCATCCCTCGCCCTCCCTTAGTCTCTTACGACACCCATGGTAAAAGAAGGGGTGGCGTATTCTATACCAGGACCAGATGGTCATTTAATATAATGATTGTATTTTTCTGTGCCATGTGAATACTAATAAGTATATAATACTTGACATTTCGATGTATTGTTTTAACACGGAAGACCCAAAATGTTTGCTTTCTTTCTAGCTATGTTAGTTTGGGAAAAAGCTACTACACAATACAGATCTCAATCTACTTTAGGTTTGTTATTGTCAAATATATAATTATATGGTCAAAGTTATGGATATATTGAGTAGATAATATGTTGTAATGTACAATTTGCAGGAAGAGGGGGCCTGTGCCCGCGTGCGGTCGCTGCAGGCTGCGCACGCGGCGTACTGCGGCCGCGCCGCCGCCGCAGACAGCCGCTGCTCGGCCGCCGCCACCGCCGTCCGCGACCAGCGCCGCCAGCGGGCCGCCGCGCGTGTCGCCCGCGTCAGGGACACCATAGCCGTCAGTATACACCTTAATTGATGTATATATACTCTTTTTCGATTTAAACGATTGGAATATAGAATTGCAGTACAGTATAGAGACAACACCATAGTTCGGATAGAAAGGGATTGTTAGTAATGGGCTCTAATAGCCCTATTGCTAGCAATATCATGTCCCTATCAGGTCTACCTCCACGCAGTTCCATGGAAACCATTGTGAATAATTCTTGTGGAATTTGTCACAATGGACTGACTGACCTGCTTTCATCTTCACTTATCATGTGTCTTTGGTCCCCTGCCAGTGTATACCGTTAGCACAGGTGGAGTTACCATTCCATCATCACCCATTAAAAAGACATCATGGTCGCCAGTAATAATAACGCATGGTAAGTAACATTGACGTCACTGCATTTATTGTGATTTCCACAGTACAATTCATGTCAGTGACAGTTTTTTTTTTTTTTTTTTTTAATGGGTTGAAAGTGAAATGGTAGCTCCATCTGCGCTATCAGTATTCTCTGGTTCTTCAACCAGTGACAGATAATAAGTAAAGATAAATTCAAGTCAGTTGGCGCAACCTGCCAAATACATTAGGAATTAACTATTACGATTTCTAAGGGAAACCACCAGAAAATGTGATAATGTATCGAACTAATATATTCTATATATACTAATTAGTCTTAAAAAAGTCATATTTATGTGTACAAATGAGAATGGAAGTTTTTGGTATTAATAAATTATTTAATCAAAATTCTACTACTCTTATCAAAATTCTACTATTCCTTCAGAAAATCGAAGAAGAGAAAACGTTAATGGAGGACAGACTTTCGAAAAGGCTCAACGATTGGGTGGAAACAGAAACTAGATTGTTAGAAGAACGACTAGCGCGCCACGCGGCCGCCGAAAGACAAGCATTAGACGACAGACTAAAAAAGAAGATGGAAGAGGTAGAGGAAGAACGGAAACTTCTAGAAGAGAGGATAACGGAGCATATACAACAGCAGAAGTTACAATTAGAGGCTGATGAAGAAGAGATGAAGCAGATTGATGCAGATTTAGAGATGAGTGAAGAAGTAAAAGAAGAACGTGTAAAGAATATGAATAAATATGGAAAGGAATTTGAGGAAGGTACGTTTTTTGACATTCTTAATAGATAACATCAAATGTCGACTTTTTTTTATTTCAAGTAAACGGTTACATAGACAATACATATTCTTAGTGCCGCGAAACTGCATTGCAGTTTGTCTGCAGCTTTAATTAACGTATATTTTGTTCATTTATCACACTGTAATTTCAGGAACAAGCTCCGTCAGCGTAGAGATGGAGGTGTTCAGCAAAAATGTGGTGGAAGTCGTGGACCACATCAACAATGAGCTGATGCAAGTGTTACACCAAGCCAAAGAACTCATTGAGGTAGACTATCTTAATATTTTGGCCTTCTGTCTTACCATCAAAAGAAAAAAAATCGAGTTAAATAACAATTTTTTTTTTATACCACAAAGATAGTAAACAAGCATACAGCCTGATGGTACACGTCCCTGACTATAAAATACCATGATATTAATTAATTATAACGGTTTTTTATGGTTTACAGGATTTCAAAATAAACTATTGGCATTTAGAATGTAATAATTTATGACAGCATAGCAATCTTTTTAAATTCCTTCACATATATTTTTTTTTTTTTTTTGTTGGGTGAAATTGGAATTATAACCCCGCCTGCGTTAACGGGATACGCTGGCGGAGCACCAGTGAAGGGTGATTGATAGATGAGAATGAAAACAGGCCAGTTAGCCCATCACGATTCATCAAGAATTAACCATGATAGTTTTCAGGGGAACAGCGAGGAGGTCGACCTGGTTGGGTATATTGCTAGCAATGGGATTCTCAGTCTCCATCACTAACAATCCCTTTCCCCCCCAACCCTTCACATATTGCATTTGTATAAGTGGAACAATTAAAGACTCGAAAAAATTACTCGAAGAGAACTCTTAGAGTTAGGCTGGCCTTTGTACTTTTGCTTACCTTTGACATTTTATTTATTTATTCATTAGTACATATATGTGTACATGGTGAACTTAATGTTAAAAGCATTCTCTCCCAGTCAACTATAGGGAAGTGTCAGAATACTCCAATGTGCTACTAGTAATTATTGATATACACAGATACTAAAATTACATATATAAACGTATAAATAACAAATATACTTACATATATATAAAATTTTCTATATTATACACGAAATTGAGAATAATATAAAGTACTTACTGCTCAGATAAAGTAAAAAAGTGAGCGTGAACGTTTTTTAAAGATATTTTATTATATGTATGACATATTAATATTATAATTATGTACACATTAATTATATAAGGTAATAAATGAATCATGACGTCCATATATTTATTTATATGCTTTTGTAAATTCATTTATAGTATAGATATTAGGTTGTAACAAAAATGTACACAGGCGTGCTTATCCCTTAAAGGGATCTCTTCCAGTCAACCTTGAGAACCCGAAAAGGGAAAGTGTCTATAGAGTCTGTCCATTTGTGTAATGTTTGAAAGATGGCATACTTTTTATCCCAATAAGAAAAAATTAACCCTGTAAGGGGGCGTCAAAATAGTTCTTGGTGGGTCACTCAGTTATAAATATTTAGCATTTATTGCAATTCGGCCTATATAAGTAAATATAAAAATAATGTATCAGCGCGAGGCGAATACCACAATGGAGGCCGAGCGCGCGACTTCGCGACAACTCGAGGACGACATCGGCTCAGTTCTCGCCGGGGTGCAGCACAGCACGGGACTACTGCTGCACACTGTTATTGACAAGGTCGAGGTAAACATCGGCATTATAACTACTATTTATATAACCGTGGCGCCCTCTGGTGTCAAGTATTCTTTTAGTTTGTTTTTTTATTTTTTATATAATTAAATTCATGTTTCTAACGCTAAGTAGCCCTGCTTGCTTAGCTTTGAAGTGTACAATAAAGCAACAAAATTAAATGAATGAATGAGTATACTTTATATGCATTATACAATATAGGAAATAAGCAAGGTAATTTACAAAATGTATGGAGGCATAAAACCATATTTTTTTTAAAAATGGCAACATATGTGTATATATAACTACAGTTCTATCCCAACTATCTGGATTAGTGGCAGTCCTCCGCCGTGTGTTTTTAAGGTATTTCCTTACACATACAACCACGCTTTGGAATCATCTTCCAGCAGCAGTATTTCTGAACCGATACGATATTATAACCTTCAAGAAAAAAGCATATTCCTTTTTTAAAGGCCGGCAGCACACCTGTGACGGGTACCATTTTCCTTCTGGTGAACCATCAGCTTGTTTGCCATTCAAATTTGGATACAAATTTTCGACTCTTTTTTTCTTAAATAAAATTGTTCACTTTCACAAATACTATAACTTGATTTTGGTTCATTATGCACCCATTTCCTTATAGCTTTTTTTTTATACCACTGAAGTGGTAAACAAGCATACGACCAACCTTAGTAAGTAGGTAAGTGGTTACAGTAGCCTATGAATACCTGCAATACCAGGGACTTTGGCTTTTCAAATATAATCTAAAACTGCACCATTCTAAACAGGCTAACAGCACGTCGACAACACAAGAGCTATCAGCTCTCGCCACCACGACTGGCGAATTGATAACACTGTCGAAAGAGAACATGGATGCTCAGTCGTCACTTGTGACGGAAGCGCAGACAGCCATGACAGAGTTCGAGTCTGAATTGACGGAGGCGGTCGAAAGGCATGATAAATTAGAGGAGAAATACCTCTCGCAAGAGTTCAAGCCTTATTCTCCCACTGGTAAGTTAGAGGTTTTTTTTTTTAATTTTACGATTGACATATTGCATGATTTATGTTTTTTTTTTTTTTAAATTGAAATTGAGGTTCTTGATACGGTTATATATATATATATGAAATGCAATACATTAAGTCCTTCTTTTGTAGCACACTTTATTGGTGAATTAATAAATATGTATGTATGTATGTGGTGTGCGTGTGTCCGCAGGCACGACTCCGCTGCGCGGCGAGTACTCGTTCCCGCGGTCGCTGGCCGCCACCTCGCCGCACCACCGCATCCTCGCACGCTTCCGCGCCATGCGCACTGCCTCCACTCAGGATGATGTACGTACGACCACATATTAGTGTAACACTATTACACAATTTATTATTTAAACAATTGTGTGTACTGTTAAAAAACAACCATAAACTACGCCAACGAAATGGAGTGGCGACTTCAAAGTGATTCTAAAAAGTTTAAAATAGCTCTAAAAATTTTTGTAATTAAATATTTAATTACAAAAAGTTATTATACACTGCAGGAATTTTTCAATGAAAAAATTTAATTGTATTTGTACCTATTTGTTTCAATGTAATAATGTTTTATTTATTTTATGTTAATCGATGATACATATATATATATAATGTAAAAATTTATTTATATACTTTATGAAATATTTATTAATGTGATTGCTGTCCCCTTCCAGGGTTCATGTCGATTCTTTACCTTTAATAGCTTAAGACCTATATTGTTACAACATGAAATAGCAATAAATGATTGAATTGAATTGAAAGTGATATTCCTTTACTAAATAATAATCAAAACTTGTTCTTTTATAAGCTACGAATTTTTTCTCCTCAAATCAAAATGACTTACTTTGCAAACTGGGAATAGGAAGGGGGTGAGGGCTTAATAAGCATACTATATGCACAGGTATGTGCTATATATATATATATATATATTGTGTGTGTGTGTCTGTGTGTGTGTGTGTGTGTGTGTGTGTGTGTGTGTGTGTGTGTGTGTGTGTGTGTGTGTGTGTGTGTGTGTGTGTGTGTGTGTGTGTGTGTGTGTGTGTGTGTGTGTGTGTGTGTGTGTGTGTGTGTGTGTGTGTGTGTGTGTGTGTGTGTGTGTGTGTGTGTGTGTGTGTGTGTGTGTGTGTGTGTGTGTGTGTGTGTGTGTGTGTGTGTGTGTGTGTGTGTGTGTGTGTGTGTGTGTGTGTGTGTGTGTGTGTGTGTGTGTGTGTGTGTGTGTGTGTGTGTGTGTGTGTGTGTGTGTGTGTGTGTGTGTGTGTGTGTGTGTGTGTGTGTGTGTGTGTGTGTGTGTGTGTGTGTGTGTGTGTGTGTGTGTGTGTGTGTGTGTGTGTGTGTGTGTGTGTGTGTGTGTGTGTGTGTGTGTGTGTGTGTGTGTGTGTGTGTGTGTGTGTGTGTGTGTGTGTGTGTGTGTGTGTGTGTGTGTGTGTGTGTGATATATATATATATATATATATATATATATATATATATGTGTGTGTGTGTGTGTGTGTGTGTGTGTGTGTGTGTGTGTGTGTGTGTGTGTGTGTGTGTGTGTGTGTGTGTGTGTGTGTGTGTGTGTGTGTGTGTGTGTGTGTGTGTGTGTGTGTGTGTGTGTGTGTGTGTGTGTGTGTGTGTGTGTGTGTGTGTGTGTGTGTGTGTGTGTGTGTGTGTGTGTGTGTGTGTGTGTGTGTGTGTGTGTGTGTGTGTGTGTGTGTGTGTGTGTGTGTGTGTGTGTGTGTGTGTGTGTGTGTGTGTGTGTGTGTGTGTGTGTGTGTGTGTGTGTGTGTGTGTGTGTGTGTGTGTGTGTGTGTGTGTGTGTGTGTGTGTGTGTGTGTGTGTGTGTGTGTGTGTGTGTGTGTGTGTGTGTGTGTGTGTGTGTGTGTGTGTGTGTGTGTGTGTGTGTGTGTGTGTGTGTGTGTGTGTGTGTGTGTGTGTGTGTGTGTGTGTGTGTGTGTGTGTGTGTGTGTGTGTGTGTGTGTGTGTGTGTGTGTGTGTGTGTGTGTGTGTGTGTGTGTGTGTGTGTGTGTGTGTGTGTGTGTGTGTGTGTGTGTGTGTGTGTGTGTGTGTGTGTGTGTGTGTGTGTGTGTGTGTGTGTGTGTGTGTGTGTGTGTGTGTGTGTGTGTGTGTGTGTGTGTGTGTGTGTGTGTGTGTGTGTGTGTGTGTGTGTGTGTGTGTGTGTGTGTGTGTGTGTGTGTGTGTGTGTGTGTGTGTGTGTGTGTGTGTGTGTGTGTGTGTGTGTGTGTGTGTGTGTGTGTGTGTGTGTGTGTGTGTGTGTGTGTGTGTGTGTGTGTGTGTGTGTGTGTGTGTGTGTGTGTGTGTGTGTGTGTGTGTGTGTGTGTGTGTGTGTGTGTGTGTGTGTGTGTGTGTGTGTGTGTGTGTGTGTGTGTGTGTGTGTGTGTGTGTGTGTGTGTGTGTGTGTGTGTGTGTGTGGGTGTGTGTGTGTGTGTGTGTGTGTGTGTGTGTGTGTGTGTGTGTGTGTGTGTGTGTGTGTGTGTGTGTGTGTGTGTGTGTGTGTGTGTGTGTGTGTGTGTGGCTGTGTGTGTGTGTGTGCGTGCGCGTGCGCGTGTGTGTCTCATCTCACACACACATATATATATATATGAAGAGATCGCTTTGAAGCGATAAGGTCGTCCATTGTTTTCTCATTGTGATTATTTCTTGTAATTGTAAAAACAATAAAGAGTATCTATGTATGTATAACTGACTACCATACAGGATTGCATGGTGGTGGAAAGTGAGGAGATGCGGCCCAGCGACTCGGAGAGCTCGCTGTCGTCCGCCTCCGAGGACTCGGCCGCCTTCGCCACGCCCTCCCCGCCCGCGCAGCCCGACGACCACAAGCCCATCGTCAAGAGTACCTCCGAGACTGACATATACGTTATTAGAAAGGTAACCCGCCCAGTTGAACTACATTTTTTTTTTAAATAATAGTAACACCACCTTTAGCTGTATAATTCCGATATAGAATGATATATCCCTTCCTTTCCCGTGAGTATCGTAAAAAGTGACTAACAGAGTTTAATAATAATCTTGTAATGGGGAGCAGCGTCCCTCTCAAAATATCACCAAATACTTACTGTGGATGTCAACCCGTTTGCCAAGCTTGACAACTATTGGTTGTCTCTTATGGGAGAGACCCATATTCAACAGTGGATAGTAAACGTTTAAAATGAAAGTATCAATAATATTTATTTTTTATCCACAGCAGCAACAAAACCAAGGAAAAGAGAATCCCAACAATTCCGTAACGTACAAGAAAACCACCAAAATACCAGCGCCGTCGTCGCTCAAGAAACCACTCGTGGAACGGAACGGTATCAACTGATATCGCACCATGGAACACGGCCTCGCGGGCGTAACGGCAGAGTTTACATCGTATACGAGGATCTGGGTTCGCTTCTCGATCGGACCAAATTATGACTGGCTTCAGGATTATGAAGGATTGTATTACAAAGTTTATTTGGCCTTTCAAATGCCAAGTTTAACATGTTAATAGTTATATATTATATATATAATATATTTGGTATAAAATAGTATATGTATAGTTCACAGCGAACAATTAGTTAGGAATCATAGATTCAAGTCGATTGCCTGGCTACCTCTGTCCTATTTGTGTTTCAACCGTGAAGCATTTGTGTTTGCATGGCTGTGTTTCGGTTTGAAGGGTGGGATATGGCGTAAATTTAAAGGGTACAGAGGAATAACACCTGAGTCATCAGGAATGGCAATGCATGGGGGGTATCATGGGCGAAACAGTGTACTCTGTTATGTCCATGGTACTGCTCATGTCTATAGGCGACGGTTACCACTTTCCATCAGGTGGGCCGTCAGCTTGTTTGCCATTCTAAGTTGCATAAAAAAAAGACTATGAATGTTACGCACATTGCTCGCTAGATGCTTTTGTATGTGAAATCAATACCATTATGATTTATAAGTGATGGGAATCAAAGAGATCGCTTATGTAGAAATATGATAATTTACCCAGGTTATTTTAACATGTGGTCCCGGCATAGAATAGGCCACCCCTACCTTTCCCGTGGGTGTCGTAAGAGACGACTAAGGGAGAACGAGGAATGCAGTGTTCCTCTTAAAACATCTGTAAAACCTAAATGTTGTTGTCAATACGCCTGCCAAACGTGACAACTACTGGCAAACCCCCTCAAGCATAGGCTTATGTTTCGCAGTGGACGTTACGACCAGGTCACACCGACCGCGGTCATGATTAGACTTATTTAACAATATAGATAGATAGATAGATAGATAAACACTTTATTTGAGCCATTTATGACACACGTAAATTAATGAATAAAATGATACAATTTGATTATTTACATTTTTTCAAATATAAAACAACATATAAAACAAAAAATGAATATTGGAGATATGTTTTCACCGTGTGTGTCGCAGTGACCCAAAAAGGCTACAGCTCAGTGATGCTTTTGCTTAAAAGCAAAGCACTGATTTTCAGCTGCAACCTGAAGTAAGGCTACACGGACGCGTGCAACAAACCCAGAGTGTAACCTGTGTAACCAATTTAATAGCAAAAGGTAAAATTATATTATATAGATACATACTTATATAGATGATGCATAAAATATCATTTATAAACTATAAATCCTACTACGCGAAAGACTAAAAATTAATATTAATATTGACTTGTGGGATTGTACGTTATGGTATGTCCTCTCCCCCCCCCCCCCTTTACGAGATAGGGCGTAACCACATCATTTACTCGTAAGGTGTTTTGATTCATCAAGTTTCTTCTGTCAAGAAGTTGATGTAAGATGTGGATTAGACGGTCATACACATTTATATTTGTAAGAAGTAAGATTAGGACGATGTTATGAACAAAATTAATGTAAGTTTTCATGCATACATTGTATATTTAAGTGGCAAATGTTCATTCTATGTGCTTTTTTTTTTTTTCTATATTTTTAAATTACACAATGTAGAAATAAAATAATTATATCTGAATGTAATGTAATCTGGATCTGTTTATGTATTTTAATAAAATATAGGTATTTTCGCATGTTTACATTGCTTATGGTAATTGTATAGGTGGCAAATTTAACAATATGTCGCCTATTATGTTATATAACAATTGTTTTAACCAATAACTGTATTTTTTCGCATTAGGAATTTAGTTAGTTAAAGAAAAAGGCGAGAAATTATTTTGATGTTATTATGAACAAAGATTTTGGATGTGCAAACTGGTGTTGCAGTTATGGCAATTTAAAAAAAAAAAACAAACTAAATCTTTAAATAACATAGTTTACCATTACCATGGTTGATGTATATGAACATAGTAGGGTAAACGTCAAAATTACAATGTCTGTATTACAGTCACGTGTACAACGGGGATTTTATTAATTTATTGTTTGTCGTATGGGAAGGCGAGACGTGACGCAAAGCGACATGCGCCCCCTGAACAAGACTTACGAATAAAGTCCAAACTATTGTCGGAAACAACAAATATGGTCATTTCGTACAATTCTCGTTGTAAATATTTAACTCAAAGCCTGATTTTTTAAATCAAATTAAAAATATATAAGTGTACCCTTTACTGTGTTTACTAATGGGGAAAAATAGTAAAAAAAATCAATACGATATTTTTATATATTTATTTTTTTTAACATGTAAACAGTATATAATCGATTCATTTTATAAGATCAAATTTGAAACTTCAGGTATTTAAGGGTTAAAATATATAAGTTTAAAATATAAAATTAATATCAAAATTATATTTGATAAGCTTTTGAAAATATTAAGCGCAAGAATAGTCTATAAAAATATCCTAGATATAGAAATAATTTTAAAATATAAAAAATATATTTAAATAATACGTAACGTAAAAATACGGGCGGGATTTGGACGCTCGCCTCCAACATAAATGGCAAACAAATCTCACCGTGAATACGTTATCATCACCGTGCGTATGAAAATACAAGAAATCAGACATTGCCGTCTCTTTCTATCATATGAATGAGGTAGCGAAAACGTATATATCGATTTGCTTGCTATTTGACCAGGAGGGTAAATTGCCTTTATTACTTCTTTAAATCTGTCTCTAAAACGAATCTGTTAATTTGATTGTTGTACGGAAGTACTGTTTTGTGACGGATAAGCTAAATTTATCATAAATTTGATCTTATTAAAAATTTCAATACGTATTTTTCCTTAGATAAATGTTTCACTGTTAAATCAAATTTTTTTTTATGGGTGAAAATGGTATTGTAACTCCGCCTGCGCTAACGGGATACGCTGGCGGAGCACCAGTGAAGGGTGATAGATGAGAATGAAAACAGCCCATCATGATGAATTCGTCAGGAATTAACCATGATAGTTTTCAGGGAGAACCGCGAGGAGGTCGACCTGGTTGGGTATATTGCTAGCAATAGGATTCTCAGTCTCCATTACTAACAATCCCTTTCCCCCCTGTTATATCGAATTAAATTTTTACTTTTAGAGATAGGTTTAGAATTTGGAATTATATGGTGCCACAGAGTTGGCGCCAGTTTTATCGTAATTCATAGATATACATATATGAATAGATACTAAACTATGTTTAGAGAAACTTTAAATGTCTTAATACTTTTAGGTTTACGTTTATATATTATATTATTGTACCGTGCGTGTTAACATTTTCCTATGGTTCGTAGTTTTTAGTCGTAATTGCTATGAATTCTATATTTGCTATGGACGTGTTTCGCTCGATTAATATTATAGTTAATAAAGCATTTAAATTGTATTGGTTTTTTTTTTTTTTAATTTTATTTTTAATGTATATTTGCATATTTAGCCCTGCACTCCAGCCTAGTGACTCATAAAATATATCGATAACTTGTTTTCATTTAAGAGTTTCCTCTTGTCGGTGCAACTAATTCATGCATCTTCTTTCAGCCAGTTCTATCCCAAGCCATATCCTTGATCTCCCTATACTACGTGACAGCTAGCGTTTCTTTTATCTGTCCCATGTAGTTATTCCTCGGTCTTTCTTTTCTTTTGCTCTCTATTTTTCCTTCTTTTATGCCCTTTAAAAAATCGTATAAGATGACCTAGCATTATGCCTCTTCTATTCTCTATTACTCGATTTCGCTTACCTAAATATTGAGGGCGTCGAGTCAGTAAAACAACCGTGTCACCATATCCGCGACACTGGATTTAATGTCGCAAATACGGTAGTGCAGACGGTTGTAAACAATCTTTGATATTGCTAGATTATAATCAAGTATATAATATACGCAATGTAGGAATTTTTTTTTTATTTTCATGTATTTCCCGCTGACTCCATTTTTACCGTTTTTTTTTTCTATGTACAGATATTCGATCTCAAGTTTTATTATATGTTTAAATATCCAATTTGTATATTTTGTCCATGTAACTCTAAGAACATGTTCTGCAGTATTAACCATAGACTATACCTAGTGGTAACCATAGACATAATAAACTCTTAGGGGTGAGTTACAGCAGTGTTACTACAGTAGGAACCGACTGCCTAATGTTTTCAACTCTCCAGAGAGAATTATAATCACTCCGTTAAAACTTTATAATGAGAGTAGATATTTCATGTTAAATGGTTCGAATATAGTTGAGTATAAATTCATAACACCATATTTATGGACCATAATGTCCCTGTGTTCGCTCAGGATGATGTGATCACGTGCCCTGCTTTTATAAAAAAAAGATACCTTAGTCTTTGCCCCTGACTATACGCTAAACCAAAGCCGAGCCTTTATACTTGGGATATCATCAGGAAGGCCATCAGGATGATATATTTTTATATTTATGTACAAAATATATACATACATATATAACATATTGTAGCAATCACTCGATTACCGACTCTCGGTAATCGAGAGTACAGAGGCCGCCAGCGCCGCCTCCCAGCTCGATTCTATGATTGTATGCTCTAGATAAACGAATGAGTTGTCTCTGCTTTTTAATTACACTGTACTGTCTGTAAGTTATTTTGAAATTGTCCTTGTTTTTGTGTACTACAATGTTTGATACTATTTATATCGTTGCCTCCAGTAAAAGTATATTCCCACAATAAAAAAACGTTTTCCTTGGCCCGTATCCCCAAGAACTCGCTATAACATCGTCATTTAGTTCCAAACAAACCAGGTCTACCATGAAATAAAATTCCCAATTTTCGTGCTCAATTTTGTATGTTTATGATGAAATTGGCCCAGTAAACGTAGCTTAACATATCGTTTGTTATAAATTCTACCATAATAGTTCAAACCAACAATATTTTAACATTTTTATTATTTTTAAATTATATGTATTATGTAATTTTAACATCAAATTAGAATTTTGTTTGGGCCCGAAACTTTGGAAAATATTTCATGTTAAGCCTTGATGTTGAGCTTATGCAAAGGGTACTGGTCACCTTATATATTTAATGGGTGGTAATGGAATGGAACCCCACCCGCGCTATCAGTATACACCGGCGGGGCACCAGCGAAGGATGATAGGTGAGGATGAAGCAGGTCGGTTAGCCCATCGTGATGAATTCTACAAGAATTATTCACGATGGTTTCCAGGGGGAACCACGTGGAGGTCGACCTAATAGGGCATATTGCTAACAACGGGGCTGTCAAACTCCACTGCTAACAATCTCTTTCCCGCTACTGGCCACCTTATAGTAATCTTTTTTTTTTGTATATATTATCCATAGAAATTACCTAAACCAATATATACCCATGAACTCAAATGTTTGTATTCCGCGGTGATTCCATTCACGACCTGCAGAAGGTGAGGCAATGTATAATACTGCTCCATCCTCAAAGGATCATTTTAAACAAAAAAGGTAAATATAAAATAAAATAAAGGCATTTTGTCAAAAATTTTTCAATCTTCAAAAATATAATACATAATTCGAGTTTAAAATACATACAAATACAATAATTTATAATTGTTTGGTTTCCGTACTAAAACTAGAAGCTGTTTTTATTAAGTTTAATAAGGAACAGTAAATGCTTGTGTTCATTATTCCTTATAATGGACATTAATGGAGAAGTCTACTATAGCATCCATGGCCGAATTATCCATTGGGCAATACAGACAACTTCCTAAAGCCATCCATCGGCTAAGAGCTACGATAGTCTCGATAAAAAACTCTATTTCGAGAAAAATTCCTTAACCCTTTCAGACTCAAGATTTTTTTTTTTTTAGATTAAATATATTTTCGTGTTTTGGAGCCAAGCCATCTTGCCGACACGCACGAGACTACTGCACCACCTAACCGCTAAAATGATTTCTTATTGGCTGGTTTAGAATCTCACTGTCGTGTTATTTCAGCTTCGTGCGTAAAAATGAATTGCGCGCGCGGTTTTAGAATTTTTTAAAGTTACAACTCACGCCCGTATCGTTCAGGTCTGAAAGGGTTATAGTGAAAATTATATTTGAAGAACTTATGATTTGTTGTAAGTGACGTCTCGCCATGGTTATTCCAGCGCTGATAACATCAAAATTCGATAACAGACTGTAATAAATTTATATACACGATAAATAAATAAATAAAAAAGAGAAACTCGTGAGCGTGTATTTTTTTTATATACATATAAATTATCGTTAATTTCGAATTAATATTTATTTTACTTTTTAGAATTCAGAAATCACTAAAACGTGTATCACAAAAATCAGAAACATTTCTAAAAAAAAAAAACTTGTTCATTCCAAATAACGCAGCTGTTACACAGAGAACTTCTCCATTAAGTGAATTGATTAAATAAATAAATAAATAATTTAAATACTTATTTAATATAGAATTAAATATAATATCCATTAATATTCTTTATAATTAATTACAATTTTGCAGTATTTATTCATTTAGATCATCGATCTGACAATTCGAAAATATATTTTTTAGAATCCATAAGTACCTACTTATGTATAGGTATAACTTTTTCTTTATTAAAAAAAATATGCACAATAGAAATGGATACGAATCGACTCTAAACAATATATTGAGAAGGAATAAATACCAAAAAATGGTGGGAGACTAAGTATTAAATGCCATTGTTACACTTAACTAAATTTACACTAAGAAGGATTTTTTTTATTTTATTTATTTACACGCCTTAAATAGTAGGTATGTCGGACGCTTGTGTGAGTAGACATAAATTACTAAAGTAACTTAAGAATACTATGGACACTGTGCTCCTATTATGTATACATATATATATATATATATATGTTTAAAATTAAATTTGGAATATATCTAAGTAAAATATAATTATTATAAATATAACTGTCAGTTTGTCTCATATTGCGTTTGCTGGAAGAAATCTCTTTTAGAGGTAAGCTCGCATTTGTGCATTATTATGTTTAATTATTAGGTATTCTGACACCAATACCTTTTTGTGTACAAAAAAGAACAATTTGTTCTAACTCAAGTGATGATTTAAATGTTTAAATAAGTATATAATTGTAATACATAACAGTACATGTAAATCTCTTTCATCTAAAAATTACCTACATTCTATCAAAATAAATTCATTTCATCTACTAGTTATATTGTTCAATTTTGATTTAATTATTTCTAATAAATCAATAGTATTTTGATAATAATATAAAACAAATTATGATAAGTACATACTGCCAATAATATGTCTATTTAGTAAACAGTAAACTATGAAAGAATATCCAAATAAAATAAATATGTTCAAAGTGACTGATAGATTCAAAATAAATAACTTATCAAACATCTATTTACGTATCATTATTGTTTCAAGTTCTTTTGTTAAAATATAATCCTTATTTCTAAACCGGTTTTTGAAATTTCTTTTTAAATAATGTTTCAAATGTACCTATATACTTAAATGATCAATCAAGAGGAAGGGACTGTTACTAATGGGGGCACTGATATCCCATAAATTAATAAATAAATATCCTGTCAATTCGATCTCCATTAAAGTATTTAGGTACATTTCAATTAATAAATTCTCAAATTCACACAAATATATAAATTAATAATACACACGATTTAATACAAAATGAATTAGAGAAACGATGAATTGTATTCCATCATTGTGATCATCTAATGATGACCTCCCACGTGTGTCTTGTGTGTAATTACACAATTGAAATAACCGGTGTATTTAAATCGATTACTAGTCGAATGTTAACCGCAAATATCTCCTTACTAACACCGACAAAATACATATTGTAAGATTTATTCTAAATACGACAAAGCCTATAAATAAAGTAGTTAGTTTATTCGTAATATATCGAGGTAAATAATATTTTTCTATAAGTAGGAAATGTTCAAAAAATAAATCATAGACACAGCGCCATCTAGTTTGAAATTGAGCAAACCTTGTACCAAGAGTATCAGACAATTGATATTTTTTTTTCTTTTAAATACATATATTATTATATATAAAACACCCAGATCAGTACAAACGTAGGAATATAAGATATTTATAATATACAGGGATAGAATTAGAGACCATTGGACGGTGAGACGGTGGGTCAAATGCTACACTAGGGCCATCTGTAAAATCCTTACTAATATAAAATGTGGGAAAGTGGATTTCTTTGTTTGTTAACTTATAACGCCCTAATGGCTTAACCAATCGCTATGAAATTTAGTATATACCTACTACTTGTGATAAAGAAGGACACAGTTATTTCGGTCAGTGATCATATCCCGGTCACGCGGACGAAGTTAAGGATAAAAGCTAGTATTTTATAAATGCCAGTTAGGAGGTATTGGTGGTTAACTGTACATTACGCTGTCAAATGGGCAAACGCTATAGGTTGTTGACTGAGATGATCTGGTTGATCCATCCGATAAAGGAGGACACCTTCACGTAGACCCCGGGCACGTCCCGGCGGCCGCAGCCGAAGCCCCACGACACCAGACCTACTAGTTCGTAGAAACCGTCGTCTTGGCATACCAGGGGGCCGCCGCCGTCGCCCTGCAAATATTTATACTTGGAATAAAAATCGGGCTGAAGCGCCATCTGTCAGAAAGTGGTTACCATCACTTTCATACTTACTAACAAGATGCCACGCCGCATACAACACCTGTGTATGTCGGCTTAAAACCCAGCGACCCGGAAATTGTAACCTTCGGAGAAGATTCCGAGATAATGGGGTTTGCCCCGACGTCCCTACCCCATTCACACACTATCAAGGCGGGTAAATGAGAAAACCGGGATTGATTGATTGATTTACCAATATTATAAATGTAAAAGGTTGTTTGTTTGTTTGTTACGTTATTGCATCTAAACAGCTCACCCAATCATTATAAAATTTGATATACACATACTATATAAATACACACATATGGCATGAAAAAGGATTATAGGCTATATTTTAACCCGATTAGTATACATATCCCGGTCACGCGAACCAAGTCGCGGGTAAAAGCTAGTAATTATATAATGCTAATAAAATTATCTGGAAAAATAATTGTGTCAAAGTCATCTGTCGTAATGACGAAATTAATCGGTAGATCCGTTTTCGTAACCACATGCATGGGAAGATACAAGACGCCGAATATTGCTGTCTCGTTTTAGCTCATAGGTGCACTAGCGTAAACATATCTATCGACAGATGACTGAATAACAATCGGACTATTTTACTACTTATTTAGCTGTGCTGAAAACAAGTCAGTTTGTTGCGGCACATATTTAACGATTTCAAAATTTGGCGGCACACAAAGGAAAAGATAAAAATTATTTACTTACTACGACACACTGCATAAATAGTTTATGACAAAAATTTTAAATATATGCAAAATTTGGCGGCACACAAAAGTGCCGCGGCACAGTGGTTGAGAATCACTGATCTAGTGATACAACTTTATTTTCTAAAATTGTTCCACCCAAGAATCGAACCCGGGATCTCATTTTAATAAGACATTAACTTATCGCACATTACGGCCAGTAAATCCACTTTTGAATTCACTATTTAATCATTAAGTCGAGGTGCTCAATTAGCATCTAAGCAATTAATGACTTAGCTATGACAAACCTGGCATGCGTCATTCCCTTCTTCTCCACCAGCGCAGAACGAGCTGGCTGGCAATATGAAGATCTTCTCGGTGACCGCATTCACTTTGCGTACACATTCCGCGTCGCTCACGATCGGCAACTCCGCCTCACGGACCCGTAGGGGGATCGGGCCGGCTGGAAATATGGTTGGGTATTTAAAAAGTCGTCATAGTCGTAGAATACTGATGGATCTGACATGTATTACATATATAGATCCGTCAGTATTCTACGACTATGACGAAATATTGTGTAGGACACATTTTATGGGAAACTCTTTCGATACGAGCTGCCCGATTATGGAATAAACTCCCTTCCCACATACAAGAGAGTCCTTCTATTACTTTCTTCTATCAAGAAAAAAGTTGAAATTATTCTTTGATTTCAACTTTTAAAAAAATTTTAAAATCATTTACTAAATTTCTAATGTTGGTAGTATATTAATTTATTTTAACATTTATTATATAAGTAGGTAGGTAATATTCTTATCTCCAGAAATCCAAATCTGTTTTTTTTTAATGGGTGAAAATGGTATGGTAACACCGCCTGCGCTAACGGGATGCGCTGGCGGAGCACCAGTAAAGAGTGATAGATGAGAATGAAAACAGGCCAGTTAGCCCATCATGATGAATTCATCAGAAATTGACCATGATAGTTTCCAGGGGGAACCGCGAGGAGGTCGACCTGGTTGGGTATATTACTAGCAATGGAATTCTCAGTCTCCATTACTAACAATCCCTTTCCCCCCTCCAAATCTGCTCAGGTTTGGAGGGGGGAAAGGGAATCCAATCTTGGAAATCCAAGTTATGGTGGAACGAAGAAACTCAGACAATTTTAAAAATATTACATTTCTTACTAATGGCGTTTCAGATATTATTATAAAGTGGTTTGTTCTTTCTATAGAAATGAGTTATGTCTGGAAATACAAGTATGTTTATGTATTCTAAATATTAATAGTTGTAGCACTTCAGCTGCGCGCTAACAACATGCTTTTTCACTGTATCGGGTTGACTGGAAGAGATCTCTGTCAGAGATAAGTCCACCCTTGCTTATAACATTTATAAATGCAACATTTATAAATATTATATATATATATATATATATATATATATATATATATAAGAGACTAGCTAGAACATAATAATATAAATACATAGAATAATAATCATCTAGAATAGAAAAATTTAGATTTTTAATCTCCTAATACGTTATTATGTGGTTTGAGGACTTACCTTCTCCCATATATCCGTATCCCGTGACAGTACACCTGGTACCAGCGCCGTGGCTGACTCCTCTGGCTGGTAGACACACCAGGCACACCCCTGTAACATTGGGGGGAAAGGGATTGTTAGTGATGGTGTCTGACATATTGCTAACAACGGTTAATTCTAGTGGAATTCGTCACGATGGGCTAACTGACCCGTTTCGTCGTCACCTATTATCCCTCACTGGTGCCCCGCCAGCGTATACCGATAGCGCAGGCGGGGTGACCATTCCATTGTCACTCATTAAAAAAAAAACCCCGGTAACATTAATGGTTGATCTATGAAATGATGGTATAAGGCAGGGGGAAGCACAAAAGATCCGTATGGGTCGACGTGCAACGGCCTAGCTGACCCCATATGCAAAAAATAAGATAAAAATACATTAATGGTATAAATATGATGAATTATTTTAGGATTTTTTTTGTGACTTCAATCAATTAGATATCGTCATAGTCGTAGTTATCTTTATATGTAATATTTGTCAGATCCGTCAGTATTCTACGACTATGACGATATGTATTCAACGCTACATCATACTGTAACTGAAGGCTAAGTTGTTTAAGTTAGCTATTTTATTATTCAACTAGCGACCCGCCCCGGCTTCGCACGGGTTCAGCCAGTGTTTGCAATGTAAGCGAAAAAAAATTTTTTATTTACGACATCACATTAGAAACCTCTAAAATTATCAGTGTTTCTCTACTATATTATGCATGTATTATACATATAAACCTTCCTCTTGAATCAGTTGCGTAGTTTTAAAGATTTAAGCATACATAGGGACAGACAGACAGCAACAGCGACTTTGTTTTATACTATGTAGTGATGAGTTGGAAGATTGATTATAAGTAAAACAAAATCGGAAATGTATTTTTGTATTTCTTTGTATGCGCTTTTATTTTGGATAATTATTTTTGGAGGCAACAGTCGTTGTGATGATCGTAGCATTTTTATGGGGTTCCATTCGCACGGTAGGTTGTAGGGTACCTTCGGTGAGCTCGGCCTTGCCTTGCAGTTTGAGCAAAGCGATGTCGTTATCTAAGGTCTGGCTGTTGTGGTTGTGATGGATGTAAGTGGTGGCCACGCGCAACGTCTGCGCACCAGGCGAGCCGTACTTGCGCGTCAGGTCGTGGTCGCCCACGCGTACGTAGATCGCGTCGCCCGACCGCACTATGCTGTACGGACGGTACACGGTTTCAATGGAAACAGGCATTTAACCACTTAACACTTCTTTGAATGATTTTCTTTTATTGGTGAAAGGTGGTAAAGGGTATCAAGGTGATATAATTCATGTTTAAAATTAAAGGAAAAATGGTTAAAAAAATAAATATGACAGCTGTGTTTTGTTTTTTTACAATGGACATTAAAAAAGTATTTAGACACGATCAACTTAAAGTGAACTTGTTCTTTTATATAATTTTTGGGCATTCAATGTTATGATGGATCCACCATTATGCAAAGAAGGGTTAAGCATCTCGAACGAGACCCTCTCGCGCATCATATCGTCACAGTCGTAGAATACTGACGGATCTATATATGTAATATTCGTCAGATCCGTCAGTATTCTACGACTATGACGAAATGTGTTCCGATTTGCGCTATCCCGAGAACCTCTTGTCACTTAGAAATATTATATTTATATTTTATCTGCCGCGATACCTTCTTGCCCGTTTGTATTTCATAGAGCTTAGTGTATATTTACTGTATGCTCGTTCGAATTTAGTGCGTGCGCCAGTGTGCCAGTTGACCTCGTTTCACAGAAGAACCCTCGCATTAAGTGGTTAATGTTATAATCTTAGATTCTATATAATCTGAAGTGTCTCCATACAAATGTTTCGAGAAAAATGGATCAACTTTTTCATACAATATTGAGTGATTAATAGTTATGAGTGATTCCTTTATAACTTCTATATTTATTTTGTCTTATAATTTCTTTAACATTTTAATGCGTAAATATTAATTTTATTTATTAATTAATACGTGACGCTGCATTGTGTGTGTAAGTATTGTATATAAAACATTGAAAAAAAAACGAGTCAGTTAATTTGACAATTAGCTGACAAAAAGTTGATCCGTTTTTAAAGCTCGATGCTCTATCTATATAATCTAAGGTTATAATAATATATCGAAGGATATTTCAGATCTACACGATAGGGCACACACTCAGAACATCCAGCTCTGAGCCAATTCAGAATAGTTCGTTTTTTAAATAGAGCCGATCAGGATTCGAATCCAGGACCTCATTAACGCAAAGCAACATGCCCACCACTACGCCATAGAGGTGGTCAGCTTTGAAAAGGAGAAGATACCTCAATCAATTATTTTTTGTATGAATTGTAAAATACGATTTAAAATACGATGCGATTTTATTATTCTTTACATTTGAAGTACCTATTTTTTGCGGAAGAATGAGCATTAGATATTCTGGATCGGAATTTGAAATTGTTGAAATTTACTTGGTGACACAGTGTGCGGCGGTGAGCACCCACTGCGTGCCAATGAGGGCGGCCCCGCAGAGGTACTGGTTCAAGGAGTTGATGAGCGCCACCTGCCAGCACCACTCCCCGCGTTCACCATCCTCGCCGCCCATCACCCGAGCGGTGCGCGATGACGTGCCTATTACCGACAGGAATATGTACATATTTATTATTAGATATAAGCACATAATAGGACCAATTCTGAAGCGCCATTACATTAAATTTATCACAAAAATTAAAATTGTAATTTTAAATCAAATCTTTTGATGATATAGTTGAACATAGGTCTCTTTTATAAAGGGGAGGTGTTGCCAGTACTTGCCATGTTTAGCAGACGGATTGGCAACCGCAGTTAGTCCTTGATGACGTTTTAAGAGGGACGCTGCTGCCCATCCCTCATCCTCCCTTAGTCGCCTCTTACGACACCCACGGTAAAGGAAGGGGTGGCCTATTCTATGCCGGGACCGCACGGTAATATTTTTCTATACGCACCTTTAACTCCGCAGACGTATTTGTTATATTTTTCAGGCATTTTCAGCGTCGACCCGTACGTAGGTTCGTAAAGGGTAGCTGTAAATAAAATTTTGAAATAAATTACCTTATTAGACCAAATAAATTAGCAATAATAAAAGGAAAAAATGCTACAAGCCTGAAATTTGCCATAGATTTTTGAGTTTGAATTAAAATTACTTTGTAAAAAAGTCCACCTTTGAACGATGGATCAAAGAGCCAAATTTAGGAGTTTAAATGTAAAATAATTAATAATTGAGTAAAAAACTTGTAACTTGTTTACCAGAGGTAGACTTTGTACAAAAGTCGATTGCTTTTGGGTACCTCTGTTCCATTCGTGTTTCAACCGTGAAGCAGTTGTGTTTGTATGGCTGTGTTTCGGTTTGAAGGATGGGATATGGCGTGAATTTACTGGTACGGAGGAATAACACCTGAGTCCTCAGGAATGGCAACGCATGGGGGGTATCATGGGCGAAACAGTATATTCTGTTATGTCCATGGTACTGCTCATGTCTATAGGCGACGGTTACCACTTTCCATCAGGTGGGCCGTCAGCTTGTTTGCCATTCTAAGTTGTATAAAAAAAAACTAATTAAAATACTTTCAAAGAGAAAGTTATAGATGAAGTAATTTAGCACATTAAGGTATACTTCTCACTGTCCTAGCTAAAAAACTGACCAAATAATTAGTGTACAAACAAATTCGCCTGCGTGAACGAGGTAAGTTCATTGACCGGAACAAAAGTAACCTATTCACTTCTTCGTCCTATGTATTGCATGTTTTTTTATACGAATGGGTCAGAGGTGTCCAAGCAAACGACTTTTGTACAGTCTCCCTTTGGTAATTATAAATTGTAATGGTAAAGTGATCCTAAAAGGGTTCCGTTTTTTCCTTTGAATGTACGGAACCCTGAAAATCATGTATAAAAATCATTACCTATAGGCGTGGTCTGCGGGTGCGCGTGTGGGTGGGTGACGATGGTGGGCGCGACGCTGGTGGCCAGCGGGTAGGTGTCGTTCCTCTCCTTGTAGCCGAGGATCTCCTGCACCTTGGACTTGGGCGCGCAGCACTGAGTGCCCGCCTTCTTGCATTTGAACACGTCCGTCATTTCTGCATTACCTGTGAACGGAAAGAAGTTATTTATTTATTAACAAAAACAAAGTATGGTAGACAGACTTAGGGCGTTATGTCCTCCATATGTACAACTTGTGACTTATGTGCATGAAGATATATAAAATGCGGTCTTATCGCTGAAGCAATCTCTTCCAGACCACCTTTGGGTAGAGGAGAAAAGAAAGAAAGCTATTTGACGCATGAAATATATCTATAAAAACGCTCATGTTATTTAAACATGTGCTAATAATTATATGCATACCTTCGTTCCAATAATACTCTCCAATTATCCTTCCCCTCTCACCGTACTGGTTACGCTTCAAACTCTTTTCTCCTACATTCTTCACGACTCTGGAACGCGCTTCCTGATGCCATTAAGAGACTACCGACTAAACCGTCTTTCAAAAAAAGCGTTAACGCACACTTTTTATTTTTATCCAAGCAGTAAGTACTTTATATTATTCTCAATTTCGTGTATAATATAGTATATGTCATATATGTGTAAGTATATTTGTTATTTATATATATTTATTCGTTTATATATGTAATTTTAGTATGTATGTATATCAATAATTAGTAGTACCGCATTCGAGTATTCTGACACTTCCCTATGGTTGACTGGGAGAGAATGCTTTTAGCATTAAGTCCGCCATGTACACATATTTGTACTAATGAATAAATAAATAAATAAATAAATATAAATACTTTTTTTTATTTATTTATTACTACAAAAATACAGAATTACGAAAAGTATGTTATATTAGCATTCAGAAACGATGTAGCTTTATACTAATGCTAAGTACTTATAACAGTATATATTATATACGAATACATATATTCATCAACAAGATAAATGGGTTCTTGAGAGACACACTACAACTGAAACTCATTCAGTGGAAGCTACTGCACTCTGATACTGCTGTTCCTTGATCACAATACAATTTCTTTGTAATCTCTATTCTGTTATTCTTTGAAAAGAACAATAAAGAGCTTCCATTCCTCTGTCCCATTCGTGTTTCTACCGTGAAGCAGTTGTGTTTGCATGGCTGTGTTTCGGTTTGAAGGGTGGGATATAGTGTGAATTTACTGGGTACAGAGGAATAACACCTGAGTCCTCAGGAATGGCAACGCATGGGGGGTAGCATGGTTGAAACAGTATACTCTATGTGTATATACTGTTATGTCCATGGTACTGCTCATGTCTATAGGCGACGGTTACCACTTTCCATCAGGTGGGCCGTCAGCTTGTTTTGCCATTATAAGTTGTATAAAAAAAAATTACTCTTTTTAATTTCATCGAATTTAAAATAATTATAGCGTAAAGATGTTTTCTGTGACGTCTGTACATTTTTATCCATGTTAGTTAAATGTTATTGGTTTTTTTAATGGGTGATAATGAAATGGTAACCCCAACTGCGCTATCGGATATGCTGGCGGGGCACCAGTGAGGTATGACAGGTGAGGATGAAAAGGCAGGTCAGTTAGCCCACCGTAACCAATTATACTAGAATTAACCACGACGATTTCCAGGGGGACCCACGTGGAGGTCGACCTGATAGGGATTACTAACAATGGGTCAATTAGGCCCCATTACTAACAATCCCTTTCCCCCAGTGTTATTGGTTAACTGTTGAAATGTATGTGAAGTGTGTGCGAGCTCACGGAAGCAGGTGAAGGAGAGCAGCGACACGATGCAGGAGCCGGGGCAGTCGGGGCGCTGGTCGGCGGGCGGCGCCGGCGGCGGCGGCGGCGCGCGCGGCGTGGTGCTGTGCGGCCGCGGCGTCGTGTGCGGCCGTGGGCTTGTGCGTGACACCCTGCATCACGGACGTTATACGATTTATCAAACAAACAAACGAGCATGCGGCTCACCTAATGGTAAGTGATTACCCCCGCCCATGATCACCTACAACACCAATGGAATTGCAGGTGTACTGCCAGCCTTTTAAAAGGGAATATGCTCTTTTCTTCAAGGTTATGTTGTCGTATCGGTTCGGAAATACTGCTGCTGGAAGTTGATTCCAAAGAGTGGTTGTGCGTGGAAGAAAGTGCCTCGAAAAACGCACGGTGGAAGACCACCACTCGTCCAGATGGTTAGGATGGAATGTACAGTACGGTTTAAAAGGATTTTTTTCCCGCGAACGATCCCTACCGAGGTTATCTTTAGAGACTAAAATACCTCTAGTGTTGCAGGCGACCATAGGCTACAGTGACCGTTTTTTTAAACGACTCAGACAATACATTAAAAATTTTGTAAATGACACATCTGGTCATACATTATATATAAATTATATATAATTAGAAACATAAGTATTGGGTGTTACCTGGTATTGTCACAGCAACTTTCGCCTCTGAGTTTGCAACGGGTACCCGGGATGATGACGGCGGGCCGCTCGCAGAATGCCGCCATGATGCTCATGAAGCAATACCCAGGGCACGGAGGTAGTTGGGGCTAGAAAAATATGGAATAAAACATAAATGATAGGTCTAGAAACGCTCGAGGTAAGGCGAAAGTGTAATTTGATGGTGCACTTTTATCGGTTGGTCAACGGCAGAATAGACAATCCTGCAACTCTCAGCCGTTGTTTTTTGTACGCACCCCAACGCTGCATGCGATTGCATGCTTGTCGACTACTATCGGCACCGCCGCCACGCACCTATACTGCTCAGTTTGCTCCCACTTATCAGGCTATTTCTCTGCTCAATTCTCTGATTGCTCAGCAGCCAGATATTGATATATTTAATAACAAAATAGATATATTTTTAAAACGTTGTACAAAATTTGTAAGTTTGTAAAATAAACCTATGGCTCACTACACGTTTTGGGAGACTGTAAGTGTGGTGAGTAATTTATAAATAAATAAATAGAAATTTTAATCGAATTCTAAAAGTGTGTGTGTATGTATTTCGGGAGGCAAAATCCATAGAGCAAATTTACTTGATTACGCGTTTCCGCGTTCGAAATTTAATTATTTCTTTTTATGATATTATTAGGGAATAATATGGGCTCCTAGATCATATAGATAGAGCATCGAGCCTCAAAAACGGATCAACTTTTTGTCAGCTAATTGTCAAATTAGCTGACTCGTTATTTTTATCAGTATTCTATATATTTACGCATACAATGTATCTTCACGTAATATTTAATAAGTAAAATTATTGTTTACGTATTAAAAAGACGCACAAATTATAAGACAAAATAAATATAGAAGTTATAAAGGAATCACTCATAACTTATTTATCACTCAAAATTGTATGAAAGAGTTGATCCGTTTTTCTCGAAGCTTTTCTATGGAGACACTCTATCTATATAATATAATAATAATAATATAATATACTTTATTATTCAGACTACAACTTGGTCCATTTTGTTAATAACAGTTTTCTTACAAACTATGTTAGTAAAAAAGAAAAGCAAATTAATTAAAGCAGTTCACTCAGATGTGAGCCAGCCGACTAGAACAGCATCTGAATGAAATGCCCAATTATAGGCGAGTTATATTTCTCGCCTATTACTTTCAGAATGCTGTTGGTGCTTGTCCTAGCCCTATGTAGCTATGTATATAATCAAAACATGGGCTGTATTATATTTTCAAAAGAAAATCGTACGAAACCAAGGTCCTTTTGCTGTTTTTAAATATAAAAATGGGTCTAACAGGTCTCGGCGTGGTGGTGGTGGTGGGTGCCTTGGGCTCGTTGATACAGCACGTGCCCTCGGCGGGGCAGTACGCGTCGCGGTCCACGTGGTCGCACCACAGCGCCAGGAAGCCGTTCATGCAGTCACCCTGGCACTCCTTGCCCGGCTTCGGCCTCGGGGCCGGTGTTGTTGTAAGCTATAAACAGTTTAGTTTAGTTTAGCAATTATATTAAGAGAAATAGTAAAGTATAATGCTTTAAGAAAATTTATAAATTTCAAAATAGCAGAGAATTTTTTTTATACCAGGAAGTTGGCAAAGAAGCATACAGCCCGTTTGATGGTTAACGATTACTGTAGCCTATAAACGCTTGCAACTCTAGGAGTGTCACGAATTTATTTATTTATTTTATGTATTTATTTAAGGCAAACAAACAGCTAAAATAATACATAATTATATACTTAAATAGTAATTTGGTAGCCACTAGAATTTGCACAAAATAAAATACAAGCAAACGAAACACAACATTAGACAATACTAAATTAAACATATATAAACAAACAAATGCTATTGAAAACCACAATTATTTTTTTTAAGAATTAATTGTATTCATTAGCAAAAAATCAATAGAATTTTGTACTATTTCATTTTTAAGATTTTATTTATTCAATTTTAAAAGGTACATCCACAATGTAAATACAGAATTAATTCATTCAGTTATAAATAATTAATACAAAATTAATTTTAATTGATATACAGGGCTTGCATCTTGCATTTACACCAATTAGAGATGTACACAACATTTTCTTAAGTCATCGATTACATATTAACAAAAGGGACATGTTTATAAAAGATTAAATATAAAGCACAGTATACTAGTAAAGAAAATAGCAGGACTTCGTATATCATTGCAGGATTTCTATCACCAAGAAATTACAATAACAAGAAGGACATTAACGTTCACTTAATATATATAATTAACGGATTTTTATCAAGCTTTAATTAAATTTACATCAATCCGACTAAACCGTCTTTCAAAAAAAGCATTCACGCTCACTTTTTTACTTTATCCGAGCAGTAAGTGCTTTATATTATTCTCAATATCGTGTATAACATAGTATATATCATATATGTATAAGTATATTTGTTATTTATATATGTTTATTCGTTTATATATGTAATTTTAGTATGTATGTATATCAATAATTAGTAGTACCGCATTCGAGTATTCTGACACTTCCCTACGGTTGACTGGGAAAGAATGCTTTTAGCATTAAGTCCGCCATGTACACATATTTGTACTAATGAATAAAATAAATAAATTAATAAATCTATGCGTAGCCAGAGAACTATATTATTATAAATAAAATAAAAAAAAACCGTTATTAAAAAATACGTATAAGCAAATTAAAAAATTGAAGTAAAATTAAAACCAAATAAATTTAATATTACATCAAAACCAAATATGACCTATTTCATTAGTATAAATAACTTACAGCGGTGGTGGGCCGTTTGGTAGGCTGCTTCTTCTCACTGGGCACGACGAGATCCGGCGGCGGCTTGTTCCCGTAGCCCTCCTTGGTGACGCAGCACAGCCTGCCCTGCACGCACAGGTCCTGCGACGTGAGGTACGCCTGGCAGTACAGAGATAGGTGGGCCTCGACACACACCCCCGGGCAGTTTATGTTGCCTGCAAAAAGTCGACATGGCCGTATTAAAAAATATGATGTTGATTTGAAAGCACGGGTTTACGGGTTCTTCTCACTATGTAGCAACACTTTGCACCCAGCGGTACAGCAGTGAAATCAAGCAATGTGACAATTTAACACTTCGCTGACCGGAAATTCCGTCATGAATGAAATCTTTGAAATTAAACACACCACAAATCCATCGACATATTCGGTACAAAATATTTGCTTTTTGGGAAGAACTTGTTTTCTATTTTGTAATATGATTGAAAATATGTTCTTTTTTTTTATATAGTTTTACCTTTTATATATTTATATAACGTTTTAAGTATTCTCTTTATTTTATGTGTTTGCTTTACATGAATTACTCGAGCTGTGCACATAATGTGATCGGATTATAACCTAGCCGAATCACAAATGTAACTATTATTTAAGTTTTTTATGGTTGTGATCTGTTTTATGTGCCAATAAAATAAAATAAATAAATAAACAAAAATTGTGATAAAAACCTAAATACAATGAAAAGTAATTTTTTTTATACAACGCAGGGGGCAAACGAGCATGCGGCTCACCTGATGGTAAGTGACTACCGCCGCCCATGATCACCCACAACACCAACGGCATTGCAGGTGTGCTGCCGACCTTTTAAAAAGGAATATACTCTTTTCTTGAAGGTTATGTTGTCGTAGCGGTTCGGAAATACTGCTGCTGGAAGTTGATTCCAAAGAATGGTTGTGCGTGGAAGAAAGTGGAAGAAAATTATTTGGTCATGAACGCTTTGTAATACAAACGGTGTTGCCCGTCGTGGTAGGAGGACGTACGTGCACGCTAGTGCAAAGACGAGTTAAATTGTCACCGGTCAGCAGTGTTAATAGTGCTAGTAAAATAAAATTTTGCTAATTATAGGCCACGGTATCATATAAATATATAATTTTGTGCATAAATGTATTTGATAGTAATCATTGTTGTTCTCAGCAAATATTGACATATTTTAAATACACTATCGGGACTTTACGCGATGAAAAATTTTCAGGTAAATATTTCCTACTCACCTGCTTCTTTTAAAATAGAGGGCAAAAGAGGAAGAGGAAGACTGAGGAATAACTAGATGGGACAGACAAAAGAAACACTAGGTGTCATGTCGTATAGGGAGGTCGAGGATATGGCCTGGGATAGAGCTGGCTGGAGGAAGATACATGAATTCGTTGCACCGACAAGAAGAAACTTTTAAATGAAAAGAAGACCTGCTTCTTTATTGCCGTTGCAAGTGACGGAATCATAAAACGTGTCGTTTTAAATAAACTTGTAAACGAGTCTATTCTAATTAAAATTATTTCTATTCTATTTTTACAGAGTATATTGTCTCGCCTATGATACCCCCTATGCGTTGTCATTCCTGAGGACTCAGGTGTTATTCCTCTGTACCCAGTAAATTTACGCCATATCCCACCCTTCGAACCGAAACAGCAAGGCAAACACAACTGCTTCACGGTTGAAACACAAATGGGACAGAGGTACCCAAGCAATCGACTTTTGTACAAAGTCTCCCTCTAAAAAGTGCCACTAAAACAACTGGCAACTATAACCCACAATTCTTTTAAAGTCTTCAAGAGTTAGTCTAAAATTCTGTTCGAAACACGTAGCCACCTTCAAAACCATGGTGTCTTGGTGAAGAGATTGTTAGTAACACAGACTACCAGTCCCATTGCTAGCAATATACCCTGTCAAATTGATCTCCTCGTGGTCCCCGTCAGGAAACCGTCAGGGCTAACTGACCTGCCTTTTCCTTATCACCTACCATCCCTCACTAGTTACTCAAGACTCATTATGGGTGCCCAAACTGGACATATGCCAATAAGACATATACTACACAAGATGGGTCTATCTTCGGACACATTGTGCAGACTGTGCGGGGAGAAATCGGAATCCATGGATCACTTGATGTGCAACTGCGATTCGTTGGCAAGTATGCGTATGAGTCTACTGGGAACGGCTTATCCAGAACCAGGAGACTACAGATATCTTAAACCGCGGGGTATCGTTAGGGTAATACATAGGATCTATGAAATGATGGTATAAGGCAGGAGGAAGCACAAAAGATCCGTATGGGTCGACGTGCATCGGCTTAGCTGACCCCATATGCGAAAAATAAGATAAGATCCCTCACTAGTGCCAGCATTTACCGTTAGCACAGGCGGGGTTACCATCCCATAATCATCCTATAAAAAAAGACTTGCCTTTTCATCCTCACCTAACATCTCCAACAGGTACTCCACCAGCGTATACCGTTAGCGCAGGCGGAGTTGCCATTCCATTATCGTCCATTAAAAAAGGAACCATGGTATCTCGTGTCTAGATATAGTAAATCCTAATATTTAATATGGTGTACCTAATAATTACCACTGTCTTTGTATTTGTCGTGCGCCGGCGCTTTGATGGTGCTCTCTTCGTCTTCCTCGTAGGCCTCCGTGGTGGTCGTGACCGGCCGGTAGGTCGTCATGGTGTCGTTACCTGAAAAACGCAATATAGATAGATAGACAGATACTCTTTATTGTTTCCTCCAAAAGATTACAATAGTAAACTTATTATAAATATAAATAATTACAAGAAATAATCACAATGAGAAAACAATGGGCGACCTTATCGCTAAAAACGATCTCTTCCAGGCAACCTTTGGATGGAGAGAAGTAATTAACATATCTATCTACATCTATCTTTGAGACTGCAGTATGGGTATATATTTATGGTATATATTTTTCAAAAAGGGTATTTTAAAGTTTTTTCAGGGTGGGCAACGTGACAACCCTAGTGTTGCAGGCGTCCATAGGCTACAGTGACCGTTTACTATGAGACAGTAAAAAAAAATCTTGAAAAAAAAAATGGTGATAATTTATCAATTTACACCTGTGATCGGAGAACGATAAAACAGTATGTCACTCAAAACTGTGTATTTAAACTAACAAAATGGCTGGCTTAGTCAAGTGCAAGTCGGACTTGCGCAATGAGGGTTGCTTACAAAAACAATAAGTTTATTTATTTTTCGTAAAATAACTACAGTTATACGATTTTCTGATTGTTTCCTTTACTTGTGCTACGTGACATTGCTTCTTGCCAAATTTCATGATTCTAGTTCAACAAGAAGTACCCTATAGGTTTAAATTCCCTTGGCGAATGTCAAAATATGCGATATAAGTGGAACATAAACGGCCGTATCTTTTTATTGCGTCGATTTAGAAGCTTGATTTTTTCACTGCTTTAAGAGATTGCAGACCTGAGTATATGATATTAATTTCAACTTGATACCTTCACGCGTTCCTAAGAAAAAAGGGTCTTGACAGACAGACGGATGGACGACGAAGTGATCCTGTAAGGGTTCCGTTTTCTCCTTTAAAGGTACGGAACTATAAAAATATCAAAAAGATTATGAACAAGAAAATAATGTAAATATACAAATATATAAAAAATGCCGGCTGGCCAAATTGTTAAAGACGATTTATGTGTAGTGGCAGGCACTATTTAATATTATATTAGCTTTGATCAAACAAGGTTCGTTGTCTTCCTACGTTTCTTGCCTCTTTGAAATTTTTTTTTTTTTTTTTTTTTATACAACTTAGAATGGCAAACAAGCTGACGGCCCACCTGATGGAAAGTGGTAACCGTCGCCTATAGACATGAGCAGTACCATGGACATAACAGAGTATACTGTTACGCCCATGATACCCCCCCATGCGTTGCCATTCCTGAGGACTCAGATGTTATTCCTCTGTACCCAGTAAATTCACGCCAAATTGATTAAAAATAATATAACTGTACCTAAGGGTTCGTCCGCGCAGCACTTCATCGATGGCTTGGGGCACTCCACGTCGTCCAGCACTTTGGAGCACACGAGTGACGCGAGCACGTTCATGCACACGCCCGGACAACCCTTCACGTCCTCCACCTGCGAGTCCAGCGCGTCCAGCAGACCTGCCGACAAACATTTACATATATTTATTTAAACTTTAACGCACAGTAAAATTCTATGTACATTTGGCTCACTTAACACCGGACGGTGTTCTCTACCAGTCAACCATTGGGCGAACCGAGAAATACGTAGTCGGTGCATTTTTGAATAGAGAAAAAAATAAAACTATATTTGATAAATTTATATATTATAAACATACACATAATATATCTTATTATTATTATTAGTTAAGCTGTTACCTATCCACCGCTTGATAGGCCTCCCCCATAAATGGGGTGTTGCCAATAGTTGCCACGCTTGCTACACGAATTGGCAACTGCAGTCAGGCTATGGCGCCAAAACAAAAAAAGAAAAGAGATATAACAATAACAATTAACAAATTTAAAATGATTTTTCCGTCTTTAATTAAACGGAACTTGCGCAAAGTTCCTCTCTAACGTGTTTTTTTATATAAGTTTAGATCCTCTCTGAACGGACATATTAAGAGAGGAACCGCTGATTATAAAAATTACAAGCTCTCATAAGAAAAATATAATGTAATTCGTATGCGAAAAAGGTATACTAAATAGCTTATTATTTCTAGAATTTACTTGGAGATATCTTACATTAATATTACTCAAAAGAAAAGGTGATTTAATAAGATATAATTTTGTATAGAAATAATTGAGTGTTACAGAATATGATGCTCATGACGCTGTTCAGGTCTACAGGTGATCGTTACACTTTCCATCAGGTGGCCTACCTACTCATTTGCCATATAAACCTAAACATACAACTTCAGATAAAGTGTTCCAAACGAAAATAGTCGCAAAACATTATTTTGAATCCAAGAAACAAAACAGCTCCATTATGTAGCGAGTCGCGTCGTATATCGCAATGAAATTAAACTAAGACATAAATTGTTTTACAAATTGAATACAGAATGTCTCCACCGGCATCCTAGAGCCGGCGGTGACCTAATAGCCTCGGATCGAGCGGCGCCGGCGGCTAAACATAGCGCACGCGTGTTCGGAATGCGGACACACGTAACGGGCGGTGCGCGCGCGCACGCACATGCAAAATTTGGATATTTTCGCACAATAATATCTATTAACACAAGATCATATAAGATGTAATTGAAAATTGTATTATTAGATGATTAAAGAAATACTAAAGTCAATTTGACTTTTTATAGTTTCATTGAAAGAAAAACAAATTTCTTATAATTAAGAAATTTATCAAATTTTGTACAAATGTTGCGTTAGTAAACGCGCAGCCTTACTTAGAATGGCAAACAAGCTGACGGCCCACCTGATAGAAAGTGGTAACCGTCGCCTATAGACATGAGCAGTACCATGAACGTAACAGAGTATACTGTTTCGCCCATGATACCCCTCATGCGTTGCCATTCCAGAGGACTTAGGTGTTATTTCTCCGTACCACGTAAATACGCCCTATATCCCACCCTTCAAACCGAAACACAGCCATACAAACACAACTGCTTCACGGTTGAAAGGCAGATCAAGGAAGGAGTTGGTGTCGTGTCGTATCAAGAGGTGAAGAGACTTGCTAAAAATCGTAGTGAGTGGCAAGAGCTCCACCGACAAGAGCGCAGCACTTAAATAGGATAGATAGATAGATAGATAACACTTATTAAAACTGTATACGTCTTAAATTGATATGTTCATCTAGCTTTTAGCTTAGAAAGAAAGAAAGAAATGTTTTTGTTCAAATAAACTTAAATTTAAGCATTTTTGAATAGTCATTTTTCATTACTTACATACTTATAACATTGTACATGGTCTGTTTAATTATTGTGAACATATTATTGGTGTATGTTTTATAAATAAATAAATCCTATATCCATTTTGACAAACGATCGGAAACGCGATGTGAAGCGAAGCAACGACCGCTACGCACTGCCCAGTTATTACTTAACAACTTTATCCTCGTAACCAGCCGAACAACATTCCGGCCCGTGGATGATCTAAACCGTGGTCCCGTTAGTTCCCCCCCGCCCCCGCGCCCTCCACAGATGAACCCGGCCCCTCCCGAGTACGACCTCACGCCACTGACACACAATCGAAGGCAAATGAAAGGAAAACAGTGCACGATTTAGGTCACAAGCGATAGCGATAGTTTCTTTTTTTACAAAATAATCATTTTGTTTAGGGCGGAATGGATTGTTAGTAATGGGGATTAGTAGCCCCATTGCTAACAATATACCCTGTCAGGTCAACCTCCTCGTGGTTCCCCTGGAAACCATCTTGATTGATTTATTGTTAGATTCGTCACGGTAGGCTTACTGACCTGCTTCATTCTCACCTATCATCTCTCGCTGGTGCCGTGTCAGTGTATACCGATAGCGTAGGCGAGGTTACCATTCCATTATCATCTATTAAAAAAATCTTTTTTTTTATTAATTGCATTATCTAATGAACTTTATATGTGCATATGTATACATATATATTTATAATATTAGATATTCAAAACGGACGGATTTATTTATAAATAAACGCAGGTAAAATATAACATTTTGATATAATATAATAAAAATACCGTATGTTAAATTTTGCAACTACAATACTTGTTTTTACAAGTACAAGTAGGAAGAAAGCTTCTATTTATTATTTTAACAAATTTTAGTAATGAAATGAAAGTGTGTTACAAAATGCAGATTTAATACTAATAGCATTGTCTATTATTTGTTATTATTATTTTCCCTTTTTTTATATACTTTATTTTTTTATACGCTAATCTCCACCATAAATTATGACATTTACTATTATAGCTATATATACCTACTTTTTTTTTAATTTGTATCTATTATTACTAACACAGGTTGATAATAAGAAATTATCTGTATTTTTATAAAGCATTTCTTTAAATTTATTTATTCATTAGTACAAATATGTGTACATGGCGGACTTAATGCTAAAAGCATTCTCTCCCAGTCAACCATAGGGAAGTGTCAGAATACTCGAATGCGGTACTACTAATTATTGATATACATACATACTAAAATTACATATATAAACGAATAAATATATATAAATAACAAATATACTTACACATATATGACATATACTATATTATACACGATATTAAGAATAACATAAAGCATTCATTCTAATGTGAATAAAAATAATATATTTAAATAGAAATTTAAAAGTATTTACAATTAATTATGAATATCTCGTCTGGGTGTCTTTATTTAAATAATACATGTAAATTAAAATTTATTATACTTTCGCCCTATTATAATTCTATATTAATGAAAATGTTATAATGAATTAATTAGGATATGTAATCATTGATGACGTCACCGTGATATATATCAATGATTTATGTCAACAGTCGGTACCTACACAACTCGTTCTTTAATTTGATTATAAACACAACATTTATCAACATTATATATGTATATTTTTTTAAATTTTAAATGACTATCATTATCAGTGTCTGCCAATTCTAAATTTAATTTATTTAAATTTTTTAATTATTTTTCAATTGAGTTTATAAAATTTACTACGATGTTGGTCTATTTATATACTGATTTTATATTTGTTGCAGTTTATATTCTTTATGAATAAATAAAACATAGGAATAATTTGAGTAATAATAATTTTTAAGGCAAAATTTTGTTTCAGAAAACCGGCTTCCATCTTGATTGTAAAGTAAGATTAACTACCTCGATTAAGAAAAGATTAACAATAATGGTATTTGCAATATTTTTGAAGATATTCAATATAGATAGATATATAATAAAAAGAAATGGAAAAAATATAAATTTATACATAATAACGTATATAGTTACCTACATAACATAGTTATAACTAAAATGCTTTTTGTTGATAAACACATTTGGACAGTTAGACCGATTTGGCTATATTTTTAAAATGTTTTTAATAGATAAAATTAAAAAAAAACAGTATTTGTTCAAGTTAGCTAGTATTTAACTGAAAATTTATTAAATATTGAACTACTATATTAAGTGGAAACCATTAAAGATGAGTAAAATGAAAACTTCAAGCTCCATAAAGTAACGAGGCTGCAGTGTACAATAAATTTACTCTAAAATAATAATTAATAAAAACAACTGATTTAATTATGTCTAAAAATATTAATATTTTCATGAAGCATCAGAAAGTTTCACTTGTTCAAAGGTATTAGAGCGTATAAATGCGGTGTTGTTTATTTTATCTTCGTGAAATATAAAAAAAAAAAAAATGAATTGAGATTAAAAAAACTGTTATTCATTTTTTGTAATAAAATTTGTTTAACAGGTGACTCAGGGCCGTTCCTTATGGCAGTCTATGGGGGTCTGTGTCCAGTAGTGGACAGATAATGGTTGAGAAGATAACGATGTTGATGAATAAAATTTATTTGAAAGAAAATCTTTATTTTCAACCGATTTTCAAAGGAAAGACTTTCGCAATTCGATTGTATTTTTTTTGTTTGGTACCCTCATAACACCGTTAGTCGTAAGCCGATCCGGAAAATTCTTTTTTTACCTGATAGAATATACTTACAGATTGATTCTATAGAAGTTTTATAAAACTCATTTCACTAGTTTAGATTTTAAATCAAAAATTTTTAGTTTTTGTCACAATTGATGACGAGTTTTGTCTTGTGGAACATAATTTTAAAATTACTTCATCCACTGGACACAAATGATTATTTTAAAATATTGTTATACCAATTAAATATACACATATATCGTCTATTATTAAAAAAATTCCTAAATTATCATTAGTGTAAACAGTAGCTTTTATTCGTTATGATAAATATGATATTTATAAAAAGGTAAAACTCATGCTTATTTATAATGCTATTTATAACTTCGCTATATTTTTGACGGTATATTTATTAGTTATTGTAAAGAATTGTAAATTTAATAAATTTCGCCTGGCAACAATATCGTAAAAAAGAAAAAGAAGTCTTGTCTATTGTTATCGAATGTGTCGGTAGAACGTGCGTTTGTTGTCGTCGTTCTCGTTTTCGAATATTATCGCGCGCGTGC